TTATTGACCGCCACCCGCATCATGGGCGCCGCCGAGGCCCACGCCGATCCGTCGCTCGGCCTGCGGTGCTTCATCAATCCGTCGGCTCGAGTGACCCGTTCGGTACTCTGGGATGACGTGACCATCGGGTCGAACTGCCGGGTGACCGATTGCGTGGTCACCGACGGTGTGCAGTTGCCAGACGGCGTCACGCTGAAGGGGCAGGCGGTGGTGCGGATGCCACAGGACACGCGGGTGGTGGAGATGCCGGGAGCGAGACGGCTCGGCGATCTCCTGGCGGTTCCGATCGAGCATTCGCCCAGCGCATGAGGGATTCCGATACCGATGACATTCCCTGAGGCAGCGACAGACCAGCGGGTCGCCACCTACCTCGAACGCTCCGGTCATGGCGACGACTGCCGCGTGACCCCACTGCACGGGGATGCATCCAATCGGGCGTACATGCGTGTGACCCGAGGTCGGGCCTCTCTCTTCGTTCTTGCCGTCCATCCCGCACCGTTCGATCCTGCGACGCTCAGGCAACTGGCGGTCGGCGCCACGTTCACGCGTTTGAGCGTCCGTGTTCCGGCAGTGCTGGACCGCGCAGGCGATCTCGGCATCCTGGCGTTGGAAGACCTCGGTGACGACACGTTGCAGAACTGGATGCGCGTGCCGGGACGAGACCCCGCCAGACTCTACCGCGACGCGGTCGACATCATCGCCACACTTCAGCGGGGTGGCGCCGCGTCCGGTGCGTCCAGCGGGCCTCCATTCGATTCCGCGTTCGATGTCATCACGCTGAACCGGGAACTGGCGTTCTTTCGGTCCGAGTTCCTGGGAGCCTACCGCCAGATCTCTCTGGACGCCGCAACCGAGGCCGCGCTCGACGTTGAATTCAGGGCGATCGTCGAAGAGTTGGCGGCGGAACCGCGGGTGCTGTGCCACCGGGACTACCACAGCCGCAATTTGATGGTGCGCAACAAGGAATTGGTGGTCATCGACTTCCAGGACGCGCGGATGGGTCCGGCGACCTACGATCTGGTCTCGCTCCTGCGCGATTGCTACGTCGACCTCGATCCGTCGCTGGTCGCGGACCTGACAACACGGTTCCTCGACGCCGTACCGGCCGCACGCACGTCCGACTTCGAGCGTCGCTTCGATCTGATGTCGGTGCAGCGGCACCTGAAGGCTCTGGGCACGTTCGGGCACCAGATCGCGGTCGCCGGCCGTACCGGATTCGCGTCGTCAATTCCCCGCACGCTCGGCTATCTCCGTGCGACGCTCCGGACCTACCCGCGCTTCGGGCGATTGCTCGAGCTTCTGACGCCGCACGTGCCAGAGCTGGCGCCCTGAGTACAGTCCGGAAGAGCCGTGTGGGGTAGGCTGAACGTCGAGCACAATAGACAGAGGGAAGACGAATGCACCACATCGACGAGATTGCGCAGCACACGGGCCAGGCCGTGACCTTGCGGGGGTGGCTGCACAACCGCCGGTCAAGCGGACGGATCCACTTTCTGACCGTGCGGGACGGCACCGGATTCATCCAGGCGGTGATGTCCAAGGCTGCCGTGGGAGGCGACGTGTTCGAACAGGCGGGTCACCTCAGCCAGGAAACGGCGATCGTCGTGGAGGGAACCGTACGGGCGGATGCCCGAGCGCCTGGCGGCTACGAGGTCGACGTGGCGGGCCTGCATGTCATGGGGCAGGCGCGAAACTATCTAGGATCACTGAGTCATAACGATAGTAACACGGCGTCGACTACCTGCTGGATCGGCGCCACCTGTGGATCCGTTCGGAACGGCAACACGCCATTCTCCGGATCCGGCATACCGTGATCAACGCCGTCCGCGATTTCTTCAATTCGCGGGGTTTCATCCTGGCCGACACGCCGATCTTCACGCCGGCCGCCTGCGAAGGCACGACGACCCTGTTTCCCGTGTCCTACTTCGATCACGGCACTGCGTATCTGACCCAGAGCGGCCAACTTTACAACGAGGCGAACGCGATGGCGCTCGGCCGCGTGTACTGCTTCGGTCCCACGTTCCGCGCAGAAAAGTCGAAAACACGCCGGCACTTGACCGAGTTCTGGATGGTCGAGCCCGAGATGGCGTACGCGACGCTCGACGACGCAATCGAGCTGGCGGAATCGTTGATCTCCTCAGTCGTTGCGCGTGCCCTTGACGAACGCGTCCGCGAACTCGACACGCTCGAACGGAACCGCGGGCCGCTCGAAGGCGTCTGCACCCCGTTTCCACGCATCACCTACGACCAGGCGGTCCAAATCCTGAACGACCACGGTCTTCCCTTCCAACATGGGGATGACTTCGGCGGCCCGGCTGAGACATTGCTCGCCGAGCAGTTCGATCGCCCCGTCGCCGTGCATCGCTTTCCGGCCTCGGCGAAGGCGTTCTACATGAAGCCGGACCCCGACCATGCCGAACTCTCGCTTTCTGTCGACATCCTCGCCCCGGAAGGATACGGAGAGATCGTCGGCGGGGGACAGCGGCTCGACGATCTCGATCTGTTGCTGCAACGGATCACCGAGCATGACCTGCCGCAAGAGGCATTCGAATGGTATCTGGACCTCCGCCGCTACGGGAGTGTGCCGCACGCCGGGTTCGGAATGGGCATCGAACGGGTGGTCGCCTGGATCTGCGGTCTGGATCATGTCCGCGAGACAATTCCATACCCCCGCATGCTCTACCGGTTGACGCCCTAGCAGCCCCGTGATAGAACCCTGCGCTGGGCAACGGGCCTTTTTTTGTCGGCGTCCCGCTCGTGATATAGTTCTACGGTTACGTTCGCGGTTGGGAATGATAAGTGGGCGTCTTGGCCCACTTTTTGTTTTTCGGGGCCGGTTTTTCGGGTGGATTCGCGGACCGATCATCTCGGCACGGTTCGAGCGATCGCGGACCGGGTGGCGCGCAGCCACGGGCTCGATCTCTTCGACCTGCAGTTGCGGCGCGAGTCGATCGGCTGGGTGCTACGAATTGTGATTGATCGTGTGACTCCCCTCCCCAACACCCGCGGCGACAGCGAAAGCGTGACCGTATCTGACTGCCAGGCGGTCAGCATGGAGGTAAGCGCGATTCTCGACGCCGAAGTCACGTTCGAGCATGCCTACACGCTGGAAGTGTCGTCTCCGGGGTTGGACCGGCCGTTGCGCCAACTGGATGACTTCGTACGGTTCCGTGGCCGGCGCGTCAGGATCGTGACTTCCGAGCCGATTGACGGGCAGCGGTTCGTCTCGGGCCGTATCGCTGCCGTGCAGGAGCGGACGATTGTGATCGACGACGGAACGACCACGCGGCTGGTTCCCGAGTCCGCAGTCAAACGGGCACGGCTTGAAGTCGAGTTTTGAGGTCACGACACGCGCGAACCGACAGGAAGTGTCAATGAACAACGCGTTGCAACAGACCATCGAGGCGCTGGCGAAGGAAAAGGGCATCGAAGCCGATATCATCATCACCGCGATTGAAGACGCGGTGCTCACCGCGTCCCGTAAGTACTACAAGACAGACGAGAACCTGCGCACCAAGTTCAATCCGGAGACCGGGCAGGTGGAATTGTTCGCGGTTCGGCGGATTGTGGAAGACGTGACCGATCCAGCAGCCGAGATCTCGCTGGCTGAAGCTCACGATCTGTACGGCGACGAGGCCGAAGCGGGCATGGAGATCGAATTCCCCAAGCCGACCGATGTGCTGGGACGCATCGCCGCCCAGACGGCCAAACAGGTCATCTTCCAGAAGGTGCGCGAGGCCGAGCGCGAGAATGTGTTCGCCGAGTACAGCCAGCGGGTGGGCGAAGTGGTGAACGGCCTCGTCAAAGGCTTCGAAAGCGGCGACATCGTCGTCGAAATTGGACGCGTTGAAGCGCTCCTGCCTCGTCGTGAGCAGTCGCGCGCCGAGAACTACACGACCGGCGACCGGGTGCGAGCTGTAATCAAGGATGTCAACAAGAACACGAAAGGACCACAGATCGTTCTGTCCCGCACCGCTCCGATGCTGCTGATCAAGCTGTTCGAACAGGAGGTGCCCGAGATCTACGACGGCACCGTCGTCATTCGGGGTGCAGTTCGCGAAGCGGGCGACCGGGCCAAGGTCGCAGTGGCGTCTCGCGAGCGGGAGGTTGATCCGGTCGGGGCCTGTGTCGGGATGAAGGGCACGCGCGTGCAGGCGATCATCCGCGAACTGCGTGGTGAGAAGATTGACATCGTCGAGTGGTCCGAAGACGCAGCCACCTTCGTAACGAACGGCATCAGCCCCGCACGCGTGCAGCGGGTGTCCGTGGTCGACGAGGTTGACCGGGTGATCGAGGTGGTGGTCGAAGATCGCCAGTTGTCTCTCGCGATCGGCAAGAAGGGCCAGAACGTACGGCTTGCCGCCAAACTGACCGGCTGGAAAATCGACATCAAGAGCGAAGAGGAGAAGCGTCGCGAGGTGGAGGCCCAATTCGACGGACTGGGCGCCGAGCCGGCGCCGCTGTCGGTGCCTGGACTCGACGAAGAGATGGTCGAGAAACTGAATGCCGCCGGTATCGAAACCGTGGAACGCATGGTCGCCGCCAGCGCTTCGGAGTTGAGCGAGGTACTTGGCATCTCGGAGGGTGCGGCCGAAGCGCTGCGTCAGGGAGCGGAAGCCGCCACGATGGCCGCAAGTGGCGCAGTCGGCAGCGGAACCACGGAGGCGGTACCCCAAGAGGGGATTGAGCCGCTCCCCGGCTCGCCAGTTGCCGTCGCCGACGCGCCTGTCGCAGCGGCGGTACCCGCTCCCGCAACGACAGGACCGGAGACCGCCCCAGCCGAGGCAACGACCCACGGAGAGCGGGCTCCGGGGGATGGATAGCTAAACGCCCGGCAGCACCGTGGCGACTACTGGGGACGTCAGGGGAAGATAGAGGAAACACGTTGGCCACGATTCGGATTTATCAGGTCGCTGAGGTGCTCGGAATCCCGAGCAACGAGATCATCGACCTGCTCAAACGCGAACATGGTATTGAGGTCAAGAGCGCCTCGAGCACCATTGAAGAGATTGTCGCCAGACAGTTCGCCGAACGGATAGCCCGCGATCGTGACCTGAGCCTGCCGACTGGACCGCTGTTCTCTCAGAAGTCGTCCTTCACCAGAAGGGGCTGGAAGGGTGGAAAGAGCGCCAAACAACCGGAACCGGCGCTCCGCCCCCGGTTGGGCCCCCCCCGGTTGGTCAAGTCTCCCAAAATTGTCCCGCCACCGGCGGTGGACGAGGAAGCCCCGGCTGTCGCAGCGACCGCACCGATAACGCCGACGGCCGCGGCTCAAACGACACCGTCGCCAGAGCCAACGTCCGCTCCGACCACGACAGAAGCATCCCCGGTTCGACCGGTGGTTGCGGAACCGGCGGCCGTGTCCGAACCGACCACTCCGGCGGTAGCGCCGCCACCGGCCATCGAGGTTCCGGCCACTCCTGTTCCGACTCCGTCCGTTGCAGCTCCCTCGGTGCCGGCGCCACCCGTTGCGGCGCCACCCGTTGCGGCGCCACCCGTTGCGGCGCCACCCGTTGCGGCGCCACCCGTTGCGGCGCCACCTGTTGCGGTACCACCTGTTGCGGCGCCACCTGTTGCGGCGCCACCCGTTGCGGCTACCTCCGTTGCGGCTCTGTCTGTTGAAGCACGACCTGTCGCGGCACCGTCCGTTTCGGGTGCGCCCGTGTCGCCTGCGCGGAAGGCAGCGCCTGAACCGGCAGCCCCGAAGCAGGTGGCACCCACCGGCCGGGTCGTACCACCGACCATGTGGTTGCGGGTCGAAAAAAATGCACCGTCGCTGATGCCGCCAGCGCCGAAGACCACGACGACACCGAGAATCATCAAGCCGGCGGCCGGACCCAGCCGGATCGCGTTGCAACGACCGCGACCTGGCTCTCGTCCCATCGCCGCTGCTCCACGTCCCAGTACGCCAGCCGGACCACATCCGTTGCCGTCGCATCCTGCGCGACCGGCGGCCGGCCGGCCGACCGCCCCGGCCGTCGGCTACCGGCCGCAGTTCAGGCCGCCCCCACGTCCGCCCGGTGGACGCAAACGGCGGCCGCCGCGGCCCTCGACGCCGTACACACCGGCGCCGCCGCCACCTATCACACGGACGCTCTCGTTGGCCGAAGGCATGACGGTCAAGGATCTGGCCGACAAGCTGGAACTGAAAGCCAAAGATGTTCTGAAGAAACTGATCGAGCGCCGGATGATGATGACCATCAACACGACGCTGGACACCGAGACCGCCACGATGGTGGCGCGTGAATTCGGCGCCGACGTCGAGATGCGCTCGTTCGAAGAAGAGATACTGGAAGTCGAGTCCAGCGCGGCCCAGGAAGGCGATCAGGTCACACGGGCGCCGGTCGTCACTGTCATGGGGCACGTTGACCACGGCAAGACCACGCTGCTCGACGCCATCCGTCACTCGCGCGTGGCAGAGCGCGAGGCTGGCGGCATCACTCAGCACATTGGCGCGTACAGTGTCGAGATCAACAACAGGCGCATCGTCTTCCTCGATACCCCCGGCCATGAAGCGTTCACCCTGATGCGTGCTCGCGGCGCGCGGGTAACCGACATCGTCGTCCTGGTTGTCGCGGCTGATGATGGCGTCATGCCGCAAACCAGAGAAGCTATCGATCACGCGAAGGCCGCCAACGTACCGCTGATCGTGGCGATCAACAAGATTGACAAGGCCAACGCGAACCCGGAACGCGTCAAGACCGAACTTTCGGAATTGGGCCTGACCCCGGAGGATTGGGGCGGCCATACGGTGACCGTCGAGGTATCGGCCAAGAAGCAGACGAACCTTGAGCTCTTGCTTGAGATGATCCTGCTCGTAACCGAGTTGGGAGAACTCAAGGCGAACCCGAAGCGCGGCGCCTTCGGCTCCGTGCTCGAAGCGAAGATCGACCGTGGACGGGGCCCCATAGCGACGATTCTGGTCAAGGACGGCACCCTCCGCATCGGCGACAATTTCATCGCCGGCTCGATTGTCGGGAAGGTCCGCGCACTGATCGACGACCGGGGCAACAAGCAGGAGGAGGCGGGGCCGTCAAGCCCGATCGAAGTGCTCGGCCTGACCGGTTTGCCACAACCGGGCGACACGTTCCAGGTGGTAGCCGACGCATCCAAAGCGCGCCAGATCTCGATGCTGCGACAGAATCAGGCGAAGCAGAAATCGCTTGGCGAGAAAGGCGGCCGCCTGACGCTCGAGTCGTTGCAACAGCAGATCGATGAGGGTGAGACGAAGGAACTGCCGATCATCGTCAAGGCAGATGTACAAGGCTCGGCTGAGGTACTGGCCGACGCCCTGGGCAAGCTGGGCGACGAGCGGGTAAAGGTGCGGCTCATCAGCAGCGGGGCCGGCGCCATCAACGAGGGCGACATCGTATTCGCCGCGGCTTCCAACGCCGTCATCATCGGCTTCAACGTCAGGCCGGATCGGAACGCGGCGGCGATGGCAGAACGCGAGGAGATCGACATCCGTCTCCATCGCATCATCTACGACGTGACGGACGAGATTAAGAAGGCGATGGCCGGTCTGCTCGAACCGACCGTCAAGGAGATCCAGGTCGGTGCGGCCGAAGTGCGAGAGGTCTTCAAAGTGCCGAAATTCGGCGCCGCCGCGGGTTGCCTGGTGACGGAAGGCAAGATCACCCGCGCTGGCGGGATCCAGGCCAGGCTGCTGCGCGACCACGTTGTGATCCATGAGGGCCGGATCGGTTCGTTGCGCCGGTTCAAGGACGATGTCGGCGAGGTGAAGAATGGTCTCGATTGCGGGATCGCCTTCGAGCGCTATGCCGACATAAAGGCCGGCGACATCATTGAAGTATTCACCCAGGAAAAGGTGGCCGCCACGGTCTAGCAGCCCGTGATGGAACCCCTCGTCGCACCGAGAGCTGGTCGTAACAACGCCACGCGCCCGGCCGGGGCAAGGCGCGACGAGGGAGCAAATTGGGGCATTGGTGACCCAGGCAATCAGAAGCCCAGCGCCGCCCGAGACGGGATGCAGCGCCAATCGAATGCAGCGGGGCTTTCACCAGGGGCTGCCAGCAGCCCGGTTTCATGATCGTCGGACTCCTCTCCATCGAACTTCACTTTGCAAATGCGCGCTCACTGAAGGACAAACGGGCGGTGCTCCGGCGTTTGAAAGATCGGATCGGCCGGTTGAACGTGTCAATCGCCGAGGTGGACCACCACGACCTGCGTCAGCGAGCCCGGCTCGGTATTGTCGCGATCGGGACCGACCAGGACATTGCGGAGCGTGCGCTCAACGGCGTCGTCAACGAGATCGAACGCGTCGAACCGGGGGTGGTCATCCGCAGCGAGATCGAATGGTTGGTCTAGGAGCCTGCGCCGCAGAAAGATTGCGGCTGCAAATCCGCTTTCGCAATCTTCTACGGCGCAGACTCCTAGCAGTCCGCTGATCTGGTAGACGCATGCAATCGCGACCGCAACGGGTGGGAGATCAGGTGCGGGCCGAATTGTGCACATTGCTGCAGCGATCGGTACGCGATCCGGCGCTGCGCTTCGTCACGGTGACACATGTCCAGATGACGCGAGACTTGCAGCATGCGCGCGTGTACTACACGGCCCCGAGCGCGGCGACGCCACGCGACACGGTTCGAGGTCTTCGGCGGGCAGCAGCATACCTGCGGGGACAGTTGGGACACCGGCTCCGGCTCAGACACGTACCGGAGTTGACTTTCGTGTATGACGAGTCAATTGCACGTGAGCAACGGATCGCCGAGGTACTCGAAGAGTTACAGATCGAGCGCACGTCAGAGACCGACCGTGACCCCGTTACCTCTTGAGGTCTCTCGAATCCGCGATACGCTGCTCGATGCGCGCAACGTGCTGCTCACATCGCACGCGCGGCCGGACGGAGATTCACTCGGCTCACAGCTTGCCCTCGCGGCGGCGCTCCGTCGATTGGGAAAACAGGTTCGGATCATCAACATCGACCCCGCGCCAGCGCTGTACGCGTTCCTTCCCGACCTCGAGATCATCGAGATTGCCGACTCCGCGACCGACCCCTGCGACGCGGTCGTGGTGCTCGAGTGCAGCAGTCTCGACCGAACGGGCGTCAGCGGACTCGAAGAACGGATGATCATCAACATCGACCACCACGCGGGCAACGTCATGTACGGTTCGCTCAACTGGTTCGATGAGACCGCGTGCGCCTGCGCCGAACAGGTCAGTGACCTGATCGACGCGCTTGGGGTCGAGCTCACGGAGGCGATGGCCACCCATTTGTACGTGGCCATCCTCACGGACACCGGGTCGTTCCGCCACGCCAATATCACGGCGCGCACCTTCGAGATCTGCCGTCGAATTGCAACAGCGGGCATCGATCCGGCACGCATCGCCGCCGAGGTCTACACCAACGGCAGCCTGGGACATGTTCGCCTGACAGGCATGCTGCTCGACCGGATGCAACTCGAATACGACCGGCGGATCGCCGTACTCAGACTGCACGACACCATGCTCGCGGAGGCCGAGTGCGCAGCCGACGACATTGAAGGCATCGTGAATCTGCCGCTCGCAGTCCGCGATGTTCGGGCCGTGGTGTTCTTCAAACACACCGGCACAGAGGTACGTGTCAGCGTGCGGTCGAAAGCGGCGGTCGACGTACGCCAGGTAGCCGTCTCGTTCGGTGGCGGCGGACATCGTAATGCCGCCGGGTTCACAATCGAGCATCCCACCGCGGAAACGACCCGGCAGGTGATCACACGTATCGCCACCGCGATCGCAAACAGCGAACAGTGACGGTAGCGGCAGGACTGGACGGAGTGCTGGTGGTCGACAAGCCCTCCGGTCCCACCTCGCATGATGTCGTGGCGGCGGCCCGGCACGCGCTCGGGCTTCGCAAGGCGGGTCACCTGGGCACGCTCGATCCATTGGCGACCGGGGTGCTGCCTCTGGTCGTGGGGCGCGCCACCAGGCTCGCTTCGTTGTTCGCCGAAGCCCGCAAGCAATACGATGCGGTGATCAGGCTGGGATTGATTACCGACAGCTTCGATATCACCGGTTCGATCGTGGGCGGCTCCGGAGCCGGCCTCCTGGACCCGTCGAGCCAGACGCGGGCCGCCTGGCCTGACGCCGGGGTCATCTCTGCTGCGGCCGAGGACTTCGTCGGCTCCTATCTGCAACGACCGCCACCCGTTTCGGCGAAGAAGATCGGTGGGGTGCGCGCCTACGAGCTTGCACGGCGGCACCAGCCGGTCGAAATCAGTCCGGTGCCTGTGACCGTCGAATCGCTCACCCTGCTGGCCGTCGAGGCACACCGGGTGCGCTGTCGCGTCGTCTGTTCCAGCGGCTTCTACGTCCGGTCGCTCGCGCACGACCTCGGCGGGAAGCTTGGATGCGGTGGATGTCTCGAGACCCTTCGCCGTGAGCGTCATGGCCCGTTCCGGCTCGACGACGCAGTGCCGCTGGAAGCGTTGATGGACGCCGGCGACGCGGTGGCAGCCCGGCTGGTGCCCATGCGCGACCTGCTTCCCGACCTGCCCCGGGTGGTCGTCAACGCCCTGGGCGCGCGTCGAGCGGCGCACGGTAATCCGCTGGGGCCAGGCGAACTCGTTGTGGCCAGCCTCCCAACCGACCTGGCGGGCGCCCGGATCCGCGTGCTGGACGAGACCGGCAGGCTGCTGGCCATCGCAGAATCGGGGGCCGATGGCGTTTTGCGTCCCAAGATCGTTCTAGTGTAAGATCGGCCGGTTAATCAAAATGAGAGGGCTGACATCGTAATGACGGCGGTTTGGAGCACCGGCTGTTCGACCATCTCGCATCGGTCGTGTCTGGGCCGTTCGTGGAGGTGATCACCAGTGGTGTTACTGAAAGAACAAAAGATCGAACTCATCGGCTCGTATCAGGTTCACGAGACCGATACTGGTTCGCCTGAGGTGCAGGTTGCCCTGCTCAGCGAGCGTATCAGCTATTTGACCGAGCATTTCAAGATCCACGCGAAAGATCATCACTCGCGCCGGGGATTGCTGAAGCTCGTGGGGCAACGCCGCCGACTCCTTGACTACCTCAAATCCAAGGACTCGGGACGATACGCCTACCTGATCAAACGGCTGGGTCTCCGCAAGTAGGTGGAACGAACCACCGTTCGTTCCCGTACTCCCGCTCGTTCGTCTCCTTGCCGTTCGGACAGTATTGTGGAGTGAAATCATGCATACAGGCGCAGTGAATGTTGGCGGTCAGTCCCTGACCATCGAGACGGGCAAGCTGGCCAAGCAGGCCAACGGATCCGTCGTGGTTCGTTATGGCGACACGATGGTGCTCGTGACCGCCTGCTACTCGTCTCATGAACGGGAGGGGATCGACTTTCTTCCCCTGACCGTCGACTACCGGGAGAACACGTACGCATCGGGCCGAATCCCTGGCGGCTTCTTCAAGCGCGAGGGCAAGCCGCCGGAAAAAGAGGTGTTGACCAGCCGGGTAATCGACCGCCCCATCCGGCCGTTGTTTCCGGACGGCTGGCGTCGCGAGACCCAGGTCGTCGCCTTCGTCATCTCCGCTGACAAGGAGAACGACTCCGATGTCCTGGCTCTCACCGGAGCCTCCGCGGCGCTGGCGCTCTCCGAGATTCCGCTTCAGGCCACCATCGCCGCGGTACGCGTTGGAATGCTCGATGGGAAGCTCCTGATCAACCCGACCTATGAGCAGCGACGCAGCGGGAGCCTCGACCTCGTAGTCGCGGGGAGCAGAGACGCATTGGTCATGGTCGAGGCAGGCGCCAAGGAGGTCTCGGAAGAGGACATGATCCTTGCGCTCGACGCGGGGCATGGGGCTATTCGGCAGATTATCGACGAGATCGACAGTCTGGCCGCGGCGGCCGGCAAGACAAAACTCAAAGTGGATGCCAAGTCGCCCGACCCCACCGTCGCCGCCGAGGTCGAGAGCCAGTTGATCGGCCCGCTCGCTGACGCGATGCGGATCAGGGACAAGCTGGAGAGCTATTCGGCCGTCGACAAAGTTCTCGAAGACTATCTGGCGACACTCCCTCAGGAAGATGCGGAACGGCGCGCCGATACCAAGAGCGTCTTCAAGGGGCTGAAGGAAAAGGTGCTGCGTGACGAAGTGCTCGAGCGCGGACAGCGTCTTGATGGACGAGCGTTCGACGAAATTCGCAACATCACGTGCGATGTCGGCCTGCTCCCCCGAGCGCACGGCTCGGCCGTGTTCACGCGCGGAGAGACCCAAGCACTGGTCACGTCGACGCTCGGCACGGCCGACGACCAGCAGAAGATCGAGTTGGTCGACGGCGAGACCTACCGCCGTTTCATGCTGCATTACAACTTCCCGCCGTTCTCGGTCGGGGAGGTCAAGTTCCTGCGCGGTCCCGGGCGACGGGAAATCGGACACGGAAATCTGGCTGAGCGCAGTCTGCTGCCGGTCGTGCCCGGCGAAGACACGTTCCCTTACACCATCCGAGTCGTGTCCGACATCCTCGAGTCGAACGGGTCATCTTCAATGGCCTCGGTCTGCGGAGGTACGCTGGCCCTGATGGACGCCGGGGTGCCACTAAAGGCGCCGGTCGCCGGGGTCGCAATGGGCCTCATTCTGGATGAGACCACTGGAAGGCATGCAGTCCTCAGCGACATCGCGGGCGCCGAGGATCATTACGGGGACATGGACTTCAAGGTCGCCGGCACGGCCGACGGCATCACCGCGCTGCAGATGGACATCAAGGTGGGCGGTATCACGGCCGATATTATGCAACAGGCGCTGGAACAGGCCAAGGCCGGCCGGCTGCACATCCTCGAGCGGATGCGCGCCACGTTACAAGACCCGCGCACCAACATCTCGTCGCATGCTCCGCGCATTGTCACCATCCAGATTCCAGTCGACAAGATCCGCGACGTGATCGGACCGGGCGGCAAGACCATCCGGAGCATCATTGAACGCACGGGGGTCAAGATCGACGTCGAGGACGACGGCCGCGTCAACGTCGCCTCGAGTGACGATGCTTCCGCACAAAAGGCTATCTCAATCATCGAGGAGCTCACCGCCACACCGGAACTGAACAAGTCATACCTGGGAACCGTGCAACGGATTACCGACTTCGGGGCATTCGTCGAGGTATTGCCTGGCGTGGACGGGTTGCTGCACGTCTCAGAAATCGCGCACTACCGTGTCAAGGAAGTGCGGGACGAGCTTCAGGAGGGGGAGAAAGTCCTGGTGAAGGTGATCAACGTCGACCCCTCAGGCAAGATTCGATTGAGCCGCAAGGCGCTGCTCGATCGACCGGCGGGCGGTGACCAGAATGCTGGCAATCGGCGCGACCGGCAGCCGGTGAAGTCGTAGGAACCGGCTGAACGCCACGGCAGCAAAGCCTCAGGAACGGCGCCGTGAACCCTCCCCGGTTCGCCGCGTGGCCACGGCGAGACGCGCCGCCGCCAGACGGCGGAACAACGGCGGGTGCGTGTGCCACAGCAATTCGACCAACCGCGACGGACGTTCTTCGGCGAGATTCTGCTCGCCCAGACGGCGCAGCCCGGAAACGAACGCTTCCGGGCTGCGTGTCACGCGGATTGCGAACAGATCGGCTCGCTGTTCGTGGCGCCGGGACAGGGCATGGCCAAACGGCGCGGCTGTGGCCACCACCATGCCAGCACCCAGCGCCATTAACGGCAGCCCGGCGATGTCTGACGGACCCGCCAACTCGAACAGTTCCCCGAAGCGGGTCACGACCGCACCCCCGCACAGCAGCGCCAGCGCCGCCACCGCGAGTTTGAACGCCATCAACGACCACACGTCGCGATGGACGTAGTGACCGAGTTCGTGAGCGAGCACTCCTTCGATCTCCTCATCGGAATAGTCCGCCAACAGCGTGTCGGACACGAGGACACGACGCGTGGGCCCCAACCCGACCAGCGTGGCCTGCGCTCTACCCGTGATTTGTGCCACGGCGCACGTCTCGACGCGCAGGGGCGGCACGCCGGCGTGCGCGGCCACCGCGCCCAGCCGCGCGGTCAACCCGCTATCAAGGGACCGAATCCGGTACAGCAACGGGATGATGCAAATTGGCGCAAGGCCCGTGATCAGAAGGGTGACCACGCCGAAGAGCGCGGCGCACACCGCCCACCAGCCGGCGGGCCACACGCGCAGCGCGGTACACACCGCCGCAGCCGTCCCCATCGCCAAAAACGTGCTCAGTGCGACAGTCGCCAGATGGGCGTACGCCCACCGCGCCGCACCCATCCGGGACACCGCATATCGGCGGTCCAACACCAACCCCTGAAAGAACCACACGGGTAATTGAACGACCTCGATCAGCCCCCACGCCGTTGCGGCGTACACAGCCGCCATTCCAGCGTGCCGCCATCCGGCCGACAACCCGAGCGGGGCGAACTGACGTGCCACGGCGTCACGGAGGTCAACCGACGCTCCGGACACGAGCAGTCCCAGCAACACAAGTACGGCGGCCGACGCAGCCAGAAGCTTCGTTCGCCGTCTCAACCGGTGATAACGGGTAGCCTTGCCTTCGTTCACACTGAGGAGGAGACCCTGGCCTGGAGCCGCAGGGAACGGCCCCGAGGCATCAGGCCTGACCGAGCTGCACCGAAATCAGTTTCGACACTCCCGGCTCTTCCATCGTCACTCCGTACAACCGGTCGGCGATCTCCATCGTCTTGCGATTATGGGTCACGAGAATGAACTGGGTGTCAGACTGCATACCGCGCAGCATCTCGACAAAGCGTCCGATGTTGGCTTCGTCGAGCGGTGCGTCAATCTCGTCGAGCAGGCAAAACGGACTCGGCTTGTACCTGAAGATCGCGAACATCAGCGCCATGGCCGAGAGCGCCTTCTCACCCCCCGACAACAACTGAATATTCTGCAACCGCTTGCCCGGCGGTTGGGCGATGATCTCGATCCCGCTCTCGAGCAGATCGGTCTCGTCAAGCAGCACGAGCCCCGCGCGTCCGCCGCCGAACAACGTGGAGAACGTATCCTGGAAGTGCGTGTTGATCGCTTCGAACGCATCACGGAACCGTTCGCGGGTCGTGCGGTTGATCCGTGCGATAGCGTCGCCCGTCGCCTTGATCGATTCCTCGAGGTCCCGGCGCTGCGTGGTGAGAAAGTCGTAGCGCGCTTCGAGGTCGTCGAACTCGTCGATGGCCATCATGTTCACCGGCCCCAGACGATCGATCTTCGTTTTCAATAAGGCCACCATATCTTCGACCGTCATCGGTCTCGTCGGGGTCTCAACCGGCCTCGCCTCGACCTCCGCCGGCTGGGTATCGACGGCTGCCTCATCGTCTTCATCTGAACCGATGTCGACGGCGTGGGAACGCAACTCGGCATCCGGATCGAAGCCCCCGTCGCCGACGAGCCCAGCCATCTGAGCGGTCACCTCATCCAGTGACATCTGCAACGCGACGCGGCAGGAATCTTCAAGATGCGCCAGATCGCCTTCAGCGGTCGCTCGGACGACGTCCAGTTCGGCGACCTCCGCGCGCCTTTCTTCCAGACCTGACCGAGCGACGCGCACCTCGCTGTCCCCCGTATCGAGGTGAGCGCGGCGGCCCAGCGCCTGCTCGTCGGCCTCCTGCACCTTCGCTCGCAACGTCGCCAGCCCGGCGATGTCCGCGTCGAGACGCCGCGTCGACGACGCCACGGCGGCCACGAGTTCTTCACGCGTGGTGCGAGTCCGGGCCTGCTTTGCCTGCTGGTGCGCGAGCCGACCGGCAAGCTCCTGATTCGCCCGTTCGAACCGCACGACGCTCGCTTCCAACGCCGACGAGCGTTCGACCAACGCAGCGTGCGCCGCCTTCGCTTCGACCACCTCGCGACTCAGAGCATCGAGCGACCCACGAGCGTCGAGCACGCGACGCTGAGAGGCAGCGAAACGCTCATCGGCGATCCGCTGTTCGCCTCGTATTCGCTCAATCGAGACGTTCGCTTCGGTCTGACGTGCCTCCAATACTTCGTGTTCTTCGGCCGCCGAGCGGCGCTCAGTCGCAATAACGTCTCGCTTCCGGTTCAGGCGCTGCTCCTCCTCGTCCCGCGCGGCGCGTTGCATTTCATGTCCCAACATCGCCTTCTCGTGCTGGTGCAGCTCCTGCGTCGCCTCGGCCAGCGCGGTCTCTGAACGATTGATCTCAACATCGAGCCGACCTAGCCGGTCGCCAAGGCGTGCCACGGTCGCCCGCTGAACAACGATCTGCTCATTGAGGTCCCTTATCTCGCGCTTCGCCGCCAGGATGCCGAGGGCGCCGCCCTTGGCACCGCCGCTGACCCGCCCGGTTCCGTGAAATACGTCGCCCTCCGGCGTCGCAATCAACGCGGTGGACCGGGACGCCGCGCGTTCGGCCTCATCGTACGATCCTGCAAGCCAGCAATCCGCGATCTCCGCGCGAATCGCATCCGCCCCGCGCCCGTCAACGCGCACGACACTCGCGACCGAGACCAACCCGTCGGCCGGCGGTGGCGGCACCGGCTGCGTGACCGCGCCATCGAGAGCACCGAAGAAATCCCCGCCGCGCCGGACCGTGCTGTCGCGCCGTCGTGTAAGCGTCCAAACCGGCTTCGGCATCTGCCCAGGATGGCACGACGACATACTGCAGTAGATCGCCGTGCGAGATCCGAGTACAGGCCTCGACAGCGCGTTCGTGACCTGGCAGCACCTCGAGATGATCCGCAACGGAACCCAGTTGACGGATACCGGAATCCGCTGTCGAGAGCAGCAGGCGGACAGCGTCCGAATATCCTGCTCTTGTTGTTTCCATATCCCGCAACGAGGTCAGCCGACCCGTGAGACCGGCCAGCTCTGCTCTGGGTTCCGACAGCTCGCGTGTGGCGCAGCCTCGGCTCAGCCGCGTATACGTCGGAAAACTCGGCGACCGCGTCGCAGTACATTGCGCCGCGACCCGGTGGTGTGAAGCATCCCACCAGGTCCGCGGCGGGAAACGTTTGTTCTTCGCGACGTGCAGTCTAGCATTGGATAGGTGTGTTCGCGCGGTTCTTGTGTGAGGTCCGGACTGTAAAGTTCTGAGGTAGTTTGGTGGCGGTAGTTACAGATCCCGAAGTTGTAAGCTACACTGTCGGCTGGGGCAAAGACGTCTGTGCGTGTGGAACAATCTCGCTGTTGTCGGCAGTGCGTCTGCAGCCGCGGCTATTGGCGATGGTCTGCAGCTCGATGTCCAGGTCACCGGCCTCGGCATCGAGCTTGGACATCGTCTCGGCCAGCCTCATCTGACCTGACGCAGCGTTATCGACCGCGTGACGCAGAGCAGTCGCGGCGTTGGTGACGGCGTACATCTCGCTCCGGGCTGTCTCGACATCCCCTTCGAGTCCGTCGAGGTCGCGTTGCGCCTGAGCGAACGCCTCTTCCTTGCGCTGCACCATGGACCTCAGTGCATCCCGCTCGGCGCCGCAGCGCTCGGCGGCGGCAACCTGCTCTTCGAACTCACGACGCGCCGGGTCCTGGCGCGACACCAGGTCGGCCACGTCGCGTTCCATCTCTGCCAGCGTGGCGCCCAGGGTCTCGACTCGGCGTATCGAAGGTAATCTGCTGCTGGCGGCGGTTGACCGCCAGCTCGCGTTCGTGCGCCGCGTCTCGCGCCTTCCTGGCGGCGTCCTCCGCTTCCATGAGCTCAATGCGGCAACGCTCTCGGTCGCCCTCGACCCGCGCCAGCAGCGAACGCCTGGACGAGCTGCTGGGCGGCTTTGAAGACGAGACTTCAGCGATGACGCCGTACGAGCAACGGCTCGATCACCTCGCGACACATCTGATGGCGACGGGCGAACCGCACGGTCTCCCACCGCCGGAGATCCTCCCGAAGGCGGCGATAGCGACGGGCTTTCGCCGCCTGGCGTTTCAGCGCGCGCCGCTGCTTCTCGACTTCATGGACAATGTCGTCGACACGGGTCAGGTTCTGCCGGGCGGCCTCGAGTTTCAGCTCGGCCGATCGGCGGCGGCTCTTGTACTTGGTGACGCCGGCGGCTTCCTCGATCAATTGACGCCGCTCAGGCGGCCGGGCGCGTCAGATGAGCTGCTGTCGAGTTCTTGACCCTGCATCGATGACCGGCGTAGCCTGACACCCACTCCGGAGTCCATGAGCAGATCCTGAATGTCGCGAAGTCGGCAGACTCTCCCATCGATCAGGTATTCACTTTCGCCTGAACGGTAGAGCCGACGCCCGACCTCGATGTTGCGCGTAATGAGCGGCAGCAACTCATCGAGGTCGGCTCCGTCCCTCACCGGGGTCGCGGCTGTGCCATCGGCACCATCGCGATGTCCTGAAGATGCCTCGCGGGCCCCGTCAGGGGCCGGCTCTGGGCCGCCGCCGACCATGCCGGGCGCGGCGGCCACGCGAGCCAGCATCATTCTGACCTCCGCGGTACCGATAGCCTTGCGCGCATCGCTGCCGCTGAAAATCACGTCCTCCATCCGTTCGCCGCGCAAGCTCTTGGCGCTTTGCTCGCCGAGCACCCATGTAATCGCGTCGATGACGTTGCTTTTCCCGCAGCCGTTGGGACCGACGATGGCGGTCACCCCGTCATCGAAAATCAGACGCGCCCGTTCCGGAAAACTCTTGAACCCGGAGATCTCAAGATTCTGCAGGTGCATCAGTGTGATCTCTCGCTGTCGAACGCTCTTTCCGAACAACGTCCTCCATCGGCGCCGCCGGCACACTCACGGGTCGTCACGCCAGACCGAACCATCTCCTGACGGAGGCGTACACAGAAAAAGCTGCTCGATCCAGGGTGATTTCACCCTCGAGAGCAGCTGGGAACGCTCGACGAAAACTGAACAACCGACGACACGACGGAACCGCCAGCGCGATTCACTCGAAAGGTGAGCAACCCGTTCAGTCCCATCGACGACCGCACATCAACTGGCCGTGCTCGTCAATCAGGCTGCCTCGGAACGAGTACACCCCTCTCACTCGGCGGGTAGTGTACCAGGGGGGGAGACCAACTGGCAAGAACCTCCCCGGCGCGAACCGCGAGTGCTACTGCGCGGCCGCCGCTCCAGTGCTTCGCGACAGACGGAGCAGACGCTCCGCCTCGTCGAACAGCGAGATGGAGAACTGCGCCTGCGGGTCGCTCAGCGTCAGATTCCGCCGTGCCTCGTCGACGCTGAACAGGGCCAGGTCGATCTCGTATCGCATCATCGACCGAATGAACGACTCGTCGGCGGCAAACGCTTCCTCGTCAATTGTCATGCCGCGAGACTCGAGGTGCGCCCGGAAATCGGCCATCATCGCCTGGTCAATCTCGAACCCCTGGGTGACGCGCACACGCCCTTGCCCCTGATCTTGGATCCGGGTATCTCCCTCCGCGGAGAACCGCTCGGCAAAAGTGGCGAACTCCTGGCGCGCCGCCAGCAGGCGCCCGAACGGACCCGGATCGAAACCCTCGATAGGACCGGCAATGAAATGGTCGGGTTCGATGCCGCCACCTCCGAAAACCTCACGACCACTGTCGGTCAACCGCCGCTCGCTGATATCGTGATCGGCTGGCGTCTGGTCCCGCAACGAATAGGTCAGATACTCGTCGAACACCTCGTCCCACGGGCGCTGGATCATCCGTCCGCTCGGCGTGTGGTAACGAGCGGTCGTCAGCGCCAGTCCGGCCTCCTGGCTGACCCGATAGACCGATTGCACCAACGCCTTGCCGAACGTCGTCTCGCCGACGACCAGGCCGCGGTCGTGGTCCTGGATCGCGCCGGACACGATTTCGGAGGCGCTCGCGCTGTTCCGGTTGACGAGCACCACCAGCGGCACGTCCGTGTGGCCGCCGTCCTCACGCGCGTGATAGTCCTGGTCGGAATTCTGCACACGGCCGCGGGTGTACACGATCAAATCGCCTTTCGGCAGGAACTCGTTCGACACTCGGATCGCCTGATCGAGCGGGCCTCCAGGATTGTCTCGCAGGTCCAGCACCAGACGTGCCATGCCGAGGTCGTCCAGTTTGCGAAGCGCCGACTGGAGCTCGCTTGAGCTCGTTTCAGAGAAATCTCTCAGACGCACATACCCGATCGAATCGTCGATCATGAAAGCGCCCTGTACGGTCTGAAGCGTGATCTCGTCTCGCTCGACCTCCAGGTCGATTAGCTGGTCATAGCCGCGCCGGCGAATCGAGATGCGAACCGTGCTCCCCCTCGGACCGCGCAGTTGGGTCACCGCTTCGTCGCTGCTGCCGGGGGCATCGACACCCTCGATGCGGGCGATCACGTCTCCGCGCCGCAACCCCTTCCGGAATGCCGGCGACCCCTCGAAGACGTTCATGACGGTGATGTCTCCGTCGAAGACGTTGATCGAGATGCCGAGTCCGTAATAGCGGCCTTCCTGTCGTTCCCGCAGCCGCGCGTAGGAGCGCGGGTCCATGAAGCTGGAGTGCGGATCGAGCCTCTGGAGCATCCCGCTGATCGAGCGGTACACGAGACGTTCGGAGTCGACCTCGCCGACGTAGTCGCTCTCGATCGCCGCCAGCGCCGTAGCGAACGACTCGTACTGCAGACTGAGGCTGTCCTGCCCGGCCAGCACCCGCCCACCGAAGAGCCCGCCCAGCACGGCAGAGACGACTACGACCGCGACCGCCATCGTCAAAGTCCGGGAACCGCGGAGTCCGTTCATGTAGCTGATGCTAACAGAAATCGCCGACCGTGCGGGCAACGATCTGGGAGAATGACCGACACGACGGGACCTCTCCGACGTGAACGGCGAGTCCTGCAACCCGTGACATGCACGCCGTGTGGCACGGAGTTCTGGTCGCAACAATGGTCCACCGGGTCAGTGCACGGCGAACAATGGGGGCCTTCAACGCCGATCCGCAGGCTTCAACGCCGATCCGCAGGTTTCTACGCGGATCAACGGAATGTAGCGCCAATCGAATGCAGCGGAGCTTTTGCCACGGGCTGCCTGGCCGGCCGATCACGTGGCCCGTGCGCATCGATTCGCCAGTTGATCCGACACTGACAGATTCCCATAACATATTGTTAAACAATGACTTCCTTGATTCTATCGTTCTTCGATTGCTTGACCGGTAGCGGCAGAGGTTCCTATAATGCGAATTGAGCGCTGGTACGCGAAGTGCCACGTTTCAATCGTGCGTTCTCAAGAGTCCCCGAAGCGCGGTCACGATCGGCGGCCGGGTGGCCGTGCGACCGGCAGAGAAGGAGCCCACACATGTTTGGTTCAATCGGGATGCCGGAGTTGCTCATCATCTTCGTGATCGCGTTGATCGTGTTCGGCCCCAGGAAACTGCCTGAGCTGGGCCGGTCGCTCGGCAAGAGCCTGGGCGAGTTCAAGCGCGCGTCGAACGATCTTCGCAACACCCTCGAAGAAGAGATTCACATCGAGGAGAAGACCAGCCCTGAGCCACGGGCCGCGGCGCCCGCGCCCGCGCCGGCTGCACCCGTCGAAGACCCGCAGCACGACCCGGCCGGCACCGTCTGACGCACCACGCCAGCGTCAGATGGTTGCGTCCCGCTCGGAGCCAGCGGCCTTGTGCCACAACGGTAACCCATAGATCAATGCCCAATCTCCCCGCCCCCGTTGCGTCCGTCCCCGATCCCCGCGATCCGGGTGACGAGCCGGTGGAGCCAATCGAAGAGGAAGAAAAGGAATTCGATGGCGCCGGCGGCCGGATGTCCTTTCTGGATCATCTGGACGAGCTGCGCAAGCGGCTGATTACGGCGGTCACGTCGATCCTCGTCGGGTTCATCGTTGCGTTCATCTTCGTCGACCCGATCGAAGCCTTCATCATGGTGCCGCTCAACGAGCTGCTCCCCGAAGGCAGCAGGTTCATTTACATCGTTCCGACCGAAGGATTCTTCGTAACTATCAAGATCGCCGCGCTGGCCGGGTTGATCCTCGCGATGCCCGTGGTGCTTCTGCAGTTCTGGCGCTTCGTGGCCCCGGGGCTGTACGGGCACGAGAAGAAATTCGCCATTCCGTTCGTGGTGTTGTCGAGCCTGTTCTTCGCGGGCGGATGCCTGTTTGCCCACTATCTTCTGTTCCCGATCGCCTGGCGGTTCCTCGGTGGCTTCTCGAACGAGTACCTGACGTTCATGCCGAGTCTTCAGCCGACGTTCTCGTTGTACGTCCGGCTCGTTCTGGCGTGTGGCGTCGTGTTCCAACTGCCCACCGTGGTGTTCTTCCTTGCGCGTATCGGTGTGGTGACCGCGCGGTTCATGGTGCGCAACACGAAGTACGCCATCCTGATCATCTTCATCTTGGCGGCGGTCCTGACGCCGACCGGAGACCCGGCCACGCTGACGCTGATGGCGGCCCCGATGGTGCTGCTCTATGGACTCAGTATCGGCATCGCGTGGGTGGTCGCTCCGCGCCGGAACAAGGACGACCTTTAGGAGTCTGCGCCGCAGAAAGATTACGGCTGCAAATTCGCTTTCGCAATCTTCTACGGCGCAGACTCCTGGCAGCCCGTGGTGAAACCCCGCATTGCACCGAGATAGGGTCGTAAGAAATCTGTGCCCGGCCAATTCAAGGCGCGACGAGGGAGCGAATTGGGGCATGTGTGACCCCGGCAAACAGAAGCCTGGCGCCGCCCGCGGCGGGATCCAGCGCCGATCGCAGGCAGCGGGGCTGCATCCCGTTTCGAATCATACAGTTCAGGCCGATACTGATTGACTTCGCTCAAGTGCCGGTCGTAACATGGGTCGATTGTTGCTCCTTCACGTAGTGTGCGTTCCTGGAGAGTAGACCCGCGATGAGACGACTCCTTGTTTCCGCAGCGCTGACAGTCTGCCTCTGTTTCGCCGCCGCCGGAATGGCGGCCGCACAGGACGACGATTCCGATGTCCGACCAGGCAACTCGACATGGTTGGGCGACACCGGATTGTGGTTCGTCCCGACCGGAGAGATTCTGCCGGACGGTAAATGGTCCGTCAGCGGTGCTCGCACCAATATCGATCGCGCGCACGGGCTCTCTGACATCAGCCACTTGCTCGGCACGTTCGGCGTCGGGATCAGCGATCGTGTCGAGATTTTCGGGTCGGTCCGGGCCGACACCCGGCTCCTGCGCAGGGCGCGGCCACTGTTCGATGCGGGCAACAGCGCGAACGGCGGTGCCTTGCACGAATACCCGAATGTCACCGACTTCTGGAACGGCGATAACATCGGTGACGTCATCCTCGGCGGCAAGTTCAACATCGCGTCCGAGCACCGGATGCAACCTGCGGCGCTGGCGCTGCGCGCGGCGGCAAAGTTTCCGACCGGAAACGAAGAGGTGGGCGCGAGTACCGGCGCGTCCGACGTCATGATCGATTTCGTCGCCAGCAAGAACATCGGAGACCGTGTGGAACTGGCCGGCTTCGGCGGATTCCTGTTTCGCGGCGAGCCGAGCGGCGTCACGCTGGGACACGGCGTGCGCTGGGGGATCGGCGCCGGGTTCCCAACCAATAATTCGATCCGACTGTTCGCCGAGCTGCACGGAGAGGTACCGCTCGAGGACAACGTGATACTGACGACGCCCTTGATCGGTATCGACGGCAGCATGTCATCCCTGCTGTCTGAGATCTCTGCACCGATCGACGCCATGCTGGGACTGCAGTGGCAGTCCAGGAGCGGGATGTTCATCGGCGCCGGGGTCACGTACGCCATGCAGGCGCGTGGGGCAATGGGCACGACCGCAAACATGGTCGGATTGCAGGTGCGGCTCGGGTATCACCCAGGTGTCCGCCGCTATGTGGCGCCACCACCGCCGCCACCGCCGCCCGACCCGCCGGTCAACAGGCCGCCCACGGTCACCGCCAACTGCGATCCGTGTGAGGTCGAGCCGGGCGCCACCTCGACCGTGACCGCCAACGCGAACGATCCGGACGGCGATCCCCTGACATATCGGTGGAGCGCGCCTGCCGGCACGCTCGACCCGACCAACCGGATGGCGACCACCTGGACCGCGCCGGATGAAGACGGCCCGGTACCCGTGACCGTCACCGTCGACGACGGACGCGGCGGTTCGGCATCTGACACAGCCACCATTCGCGTCGTATCGCCGCCGGCGCCGCCGCCGCGGGAGTACGCGTTCGAGGACGTGCACTTCGACTTCGATCGGTACACGCTGCGGCCGGGCGCCACACGTATTCTCGACGAGGCGATCGCCGCGATGAGCGACGACCCTAATCTGAGCCTTACGCTCGAGGGTCATACGTGCAACATCGGCACGTCCGAGTACAACCAGGCGCTCGGTGAGCGGCGAGCCACTTCCGTGCGCGACTATCTGACGAGCCGCGGCATCGCCGCCAGCCGGCTGCAGACGGTCACCTTCGGTGAGGAGCGCCCGCTGCACGACAACGCGCGTGAGGAAACCAGGCGCCTGAACCGCCGCGCCGCCTTCGTCGTCCGCATGCAGTAACGCGTCAACGAGGCGGCGCCGGATCGATATCGATCAGTAGGACTTGGCGAAGTATGCATCGACCTGACCCGGGGCGACCGCACTGGATGCAGTCGCCTGAGGTTCCGGTCGGTTCGAGTGGCAGATTCCGGATGGAGGCCTGAGTGGCATTCTTGATCTGGGTCTCACATTCTGCCGAGCCACACCAGGGGGCCACGACGTAGCCTGGGCGGCCTTTGAGGCTCGCATCGAAATCGGCTCGATTGGTGGTCTTCATGGTGTGGTCCTCTTGGAACGTGATCGCGCGGTCGTACAGCTCCTGCTGAATCGATTCCAACAACTCGCCGACACGACCGGCCAACCCGTTCATCGAGGTCGGTGATTTGTCTCTGGTGTCGCGACGAACCAACATCACCTGCTCGTTCTTCACGTCCCGTGGGCCGATCTCGATCCGAAGCGGCACGCCGCGCATTTCCCACTCCGCATATTTCCATCCAGGCGAATGCGCGTCACGGTCATCAAGCATCACGCGGATACCCAGTGCTTCGAGTTCGGTCTTGATCCGCTCGGCATGCGGCAATACGGTCAGGCGCCAGTCACCGCGAGGAATGGGGACCATCACTACCTGATACGGGCGCAATGCGTGGCGGCAGAATGAGCCCGCTGTCATCGCCGTGCATCATGATGACGCCACCGATCAGACGCGTGGTCGCACCCCACGACGTTTGCCAGCCGTACTGCACCGTCTTGTCGCGTCCCTGGAACGTGATGTCGAACACCTTGGCGAAGTTCTGTCCGAGATTGTGTGACGTGGCCGCCTGCAGCGCGCGGCCATCGCCCATGAGCGCCTCGATCGAATAGGTTTTCGCGGCCCCCGCGAATTTCTCGCTCTCGGTTTTCTGACCCGCGAGCACCGGCATCGCCAGCTCGGTCTCGGCGAACTCCTTGTAGACCCCGAGCATCTTCAGCGTCTCTTTCTGTGCTTCCTCTTCGGTCTCGTGGACGGTGTGTCCCTCCTGCCACAAAAACTCCGTCGTGCGAAGGAACAGACGGGTCACCTTCTCCCAGCGCACGACGTTCGCCCACTGGTTGATCAACACGGGCAGGTCGCGCCACGACTGGATCCACTTCGAGTACATCGTGCAGATGATCGCCTCCGACGTCGGGCGCACCACGAGCCGTTCTTCCAGCTTCTCGTCACCGCCGTGCGTGACCCAGGCCACCTGCGGTGCGAACCCTTCGACGTGCGCCGCCTCCTTCTCGAGCAGTCCCTCCGGGATTAACAACGGGAAGTACGCGTTGACGTGGCCCGTTTCCTTGATGCGGCGGTCCAGCGCTTGCTGCATCAGCTCCCACATGGCATAGCCGTAGGGGCGAATCACCATGCTGCCTTTTACCGGCGAATAGTCGGCCAACTCGGCGCGTCGAATGACATCCGTGTACCAGCGCGAGAAGTCTTCCGACCTGGGAGTGATTTCCTTGACGAACGCCGCAGCCTTGTCCGACATCTATGGTGGTTCCTCCATCCAGAAAATTGCTGCTATCCTACCATTTGGTCATTCTTGGCTCGCCGCCGATCGGACTCCATGCCACCAACACGGATCGACGTTGCCAGTTCCAGCCGCACATACCCGATCCTCGTGGCTACTGGGATCGTCGAGCAGATGCCGCGCTGGCTGTCTGAAGCGGGCGTTGGCGGACGGCGATTCGTTGTGTCGAGCCCGAACGTCTGGCGGCGGCACGGCGACGCCATGATGTCGGCGCTGCCCGGGGTCGACTACCTGCTGGTGCCGGACGGAGAACGGGCGAAAACCCACCACACCCTGGGGCGCATCTACGAATGGCTGATCCGCCGCGGCGCCGACCGGCAGTGCAGCATCATCGCCGTCGGCGGCGGGGTCATCGGTGACACCGTCGGATTCGCCGCAGCCACGTATCTGCGCGGTGTCGATCTCGTACAGGTGCCGACGACGCTGCTGGCGCAGGTCGACAGCGCCGTGGGCGGCAAGGTCGGTGTCAACCACGCGCTGGGCAAGAACCTGATCGGCGCCTTTCATCAACCGGCGGCGGTCATAACCGACCCCAGACTGCTCGACACGCTGCCACGCCGCGAACTCCGCGCGGGTCTGTACGAGGTTGTCAAGTACGGGGTCATCGCCAGCCGCGCGCTGTTCGAGTTGCTGGTCACCGAGCTGCAACGCATATTTGCGCGCGATCCGGATGTGATGATCGAGATTGTCGCCGCCTCGTGCCGCATCAAGGCCGACGTGGTGGGGACCGATGAACGCGAAGCAGATCGCCGGCGCGTGCTGAATTTTGGACACACGGCAGGGCACGCACTCGAAGCGGTGACCCGCTACCGGCGTCTGCGTCATGGTGAAGCGGTTGCCTACGGTATGCTCGTCGCGGCGGAACTCGGCGCGGGACGCGGTCTGCTCGACAAGGGCGACCACACGGCGCTGACAGAGCTCATAGCACGCATGGGGCCGCTCCCCTCCGTCACCGACCTGTCGGCTAGCGAAGTGCTGGAAACGATGAAGCGCGACAAGAAGGTGGTCGCGGGTCGACTCCACATGGTGCTGCCGGACGGCCTCGGCGGCACCGTGATCGTAGACGACGTGACCGAAAAGGAAACGCGCCGCGCCCTGACGACCATCGGCGTGCGATAGCATCGCGCGCCCCGCCGGCGCACCCTGCGTTGCAGCGGCAGCGTAGGCACCAGCCGCGCGCCAGCGTGCAGGTGCAACTGCACGGGTGCCGACCCGGGCTGCAAAGGGACGTGTGTTCGGGAACCACACCTGGACCGATACTGGTCCTCCACGCGTTACCGTACGAGATCCCAGGCGGCGACTTCGACAACGCCCGAGACCCGGTGCAAGACGGCCTCCACCGCACGACGCGCGCGGAACGGACCGAACGCCATTGCACGTACCACCATCCGTTCCACCGGATCGTCGTCCGGGTCCAGGGTGACAATCGTCTCCTGGAAGACCCACGCTGCCACGAACAATCCTTGGCCGTCCCCGGCGTCTCCGATCAGATCCGCGAACCACCCCCACGCATACAAGCGCCAACGCGGCGCCGCGGCGCCGCTCACCTGGACCGGTTCATCCGCAAGCGCAGCCGTCATCTCGGTCAGATCAACCAACGACCCGTCAGCCAGCCGCGCCGACAGGGACCCGAGACTGAATGTCGAACGGCCAGACTCTTCGGCCAGTACCTGCCAATCTGTCGCTCGCGTCAGTTCGGCGAGAACCTGCGTGAGCAACCCATCGGCAGCATAGAATGCCGCCATCCCTCGACGGTGATTCGCCTCGACGGCCTCCTCGGTCATGAGGACCACCGTCAGCGCTCCGGCCAGACCTGACACGAGCATCGCCGTCAGCAGGGTGACGAGTAGCGCGCTTCCCCGGTCGTCACGTCCGGATGCTGATCGAACGAGGTCCCCAGCCATTACCACCAATTCAGATTCCTGGGCGCCACGGTGAACGTCACCGCGTAATCAGGTACCGCTCCACGACCCCCGAGCGCCGATCCGGGTCGGGCGAACAACCGAGGGTCTGCGCCCCGCAGCTCCTCGAGTCCACTCTGAACCCGCACGCTCACCTCGACAGCGCGGATGCGCAACAGATCGCGGTCGAAGGGTAGATCGACCGGTCCACACCACGGGCCGTCACCGAACTCGGCAAGGTCAATCGCGACGAGTGGACCAGTAGCGCCCCAGACCGAGTCACAGATCGGCGACTCGGAAGGCGAGCTTCCCAGATAGCTGAACTGCAGGTCGACCAGATCGTCGACCAGGGGCAAGTCACCGGCCCAACCGTTGTACCGCCGGAGTTGCGCCCGGTCGTCGTCGTAGTAGTAGTACACAACGGTGACCGGTGCGATCACCGCGCCCGGGGCGAATTGGGTCCGCGTGGTGTGCACACGCTCAAGGGTCAACGTGACCGGGTCCGCCGACGTTACCCGAAACAGGTCCCAGCGTCCCCCTTCATCGAAGACAAGAACCAGATCGCTCCGGCGGTAGCCGCAGGCGGACGCTGTACACGCGGGATCTTTGCGAAGTTGGACAGACACCACTTCTCCGGTGATCGGGCTCAGGATGGTGGTCTCCGCCGCGGGCCCTCGAGACACCGACAAGAGGGTCACGCCGCTTTGATCAGGGTGCCGATGCTCGACGCCGGCAGCCCTGCGCCCAAGTACATACGGCACCACCGGCGGCAGAAACCGGCCGAGCGGACCTGCTGCCACCAACGTCGTACCCCGTCCGGCGTCGACTAGATCGGAGTTCAAGCGATCGAATGCGTGCCTGAGCCGCTGGTGCATGTCGGCGGCAGCAGGGAGCGCACGGTTCAGCGTCGTCGCCGGCCGAGCCAACTCGAACAACCCGCCCAGCACCAGCAAGGCAAGTCCCAGCGCGAGCGTGGTCTCGATCAGTGACAACCCCGCATCCGGTATCCGCCAACGACTCCGTACGAGCGTACGCGGCACATCTCCGTTCGGACGCGTCGGAAGTCTGTCGTTGCTCGTCACCGCACCGGCACCAGCGTGAACAGGCGCGCGCCATCTGGCGGCACACCGCCGTCCAACGATCCTGGGCCGGAGGGGCGGATCGGGGCCACCTGCACCGTGACGGTGACCACGCGGTCTGTCTCACGACCGAGCTGCCAGATCCGTTCGTAGCGTGGTCCGTCCGAGGCGCTGGATGTGAGCCGGCCGTGCTGATCCAGGAACTCTACCTGCAGCCCTGTGGCACCGGTAACCCCCTCGCTGCCCCGCGCTGCGAGGTCGGCACGCACCTGCTCGAGCTTCTCGACAGTCAGCACCAGAGACGACGTGCGATGTCGCGCGCGCACCAGCGACTGCGCCGACAACCCGAACAGTTGCGCAACACCGGCGGCCAGGGTCACGAGGAGACCCATGGCAATTACGATTTCGACCAGCCCGAAACCGGCCTGCACGCGTTCTCGGGCTCTCCCGCGGCGCCGGCAGCGATCAGTTCGACGCTGCAGTCCTGTGGTCATACGCGGGGCTATTGCAATGTCGGATCCAGATTGGTATGAGAGCGACCAGTAAGGAATTTCAGGGGCGCCGGCATTGCGCGACTCGGCAGTCGGGAGGTTCTTCATCCAGAGAATCAGGGCCACATCAGAGAAATTGCGACGTGAGCCTGACGCCGAGGATCGGCGCAACCCGGCAGGATTGCCACCGGCTACGAGAACAACCCAACGTACCACGCGATCAGCGACTGCCCGAAATGCGCCGCAACCACAGCGCCCGCGGCCAGAAACGAACCGAGCGGGAGCTGGTATTTCATGTGGCGCCGGTCGAACATCACCATCCCGACGCCCACGGCAGACCCGGTCAGCGACGCGAACAGCAGGGTCACGAGCGTGAGTTGCCATCCAAGAAACGCGCCGATCATCGCGAGCATCTTCACATCGCCGACACCCATGCCCTCCTCGCCGCGAACCCGGAAGTAGGCCTCGCCCACGGCCCACAGCACCTCCCCCGGCGGCGACTCCGAGAGCGCCGCCTGCCAGCCCGGTTCCAGGAACATACTGGCGGCCAGACCGATCACGATGCCTGGCAGGGTGATGACGTCAGGCAGGATTCGATGCTGCAGGTCGATTACGAACAGCACGATCATGGCGGCAACGAACAGCAGTCGAATTCCCAGCAGTGGCTGCCACCCGAGTTGCCAATACTGCAGCAGAAACAATGTCCCCGTGACCGCTTCGACGAACGGATAAACCGGCGATATTGTCGCCCGACAGGTCCGGCATCGCCCGCCGAGCCGTATCCAGCTCCACACCGGCACGTTGTCGAACCAACGCAGACCCTGACCACAGGATGGACACCTGGACGGCGGGCTGACTATCGATTCGCCGCGGGGCAAACGATAGACGCAGACGTTGAGAAAACTGCCAATGGCCACTCCGAAAGCGGCCACGAGACCGAAGGCCAGCGGTCCGGTCATTGCGGCCATGGCGGCAGTGTCTCGCCGGGCAAGGAAAAAAGCTCAGAAAAGGGATTCAAGACGCGACGATGACCGCCACGGTTTGGATGGCATGGCGGGACATGGCGTCAGCGGGCCGGCGCTATTCTGGCACTCCCCCGGCCGTGGCGCGGTCGAGCTCCAGTTCGATCGCCGCTTCGAGATACTGCGGTTGCAATCCCCCCTGATCAACACGCCGTTGATGACGAAGGTGGGAGTCGCGTCGATCTCAATGATTCTTCCCAGCTCGATGTCTGCTCTCACGGACTCAAGGGTCGCCTCGTACAGCTCGTCGAAATCTGACATTCCGGCGACCTCGGCCAGCGCCTCCACCACTGTCTCCCGGATGAGCATGTGACGCGAGAGGCCTGACGGAGTAGATTCTCGTACAGCCGAGCAGAGCGCCATACTGACGTCGCGCCACGCGACCCTCCGCTGGCCGAGCCGCCACGACACCGCAACACGGCCGCACGTCGCACAGTCCTGGCCGACTGTGCATGTTCCCCGCGGGCTGTCTGCTCGTGATGCCACACTGCACGGGGATCGAGCGGATAGCTCGATGCTGACATTGGCGGACGGCGACGCGGACGATGCTCGACTGCCAGGAAGACGTATCGAAGCCGCGCGAAAGAGAGAAATCGGTTCGATACGCCAGAAAGGTACGCTCGCGGCAGGAGGACACTGGTGTGAGTCATTGAATTTCAGCACGACGCCAGCAACCTTGGCTCACGTCCGGCGCAGAGGCACATGGCAAAGCGCTCAACACCCAGGGGAGCTGCCCATCACACAGATAGCGCGACGACGCCGATTCGCCCAGCCGGACGACGCAGCCGCACCGGCGTCAGCGGCGGCACCGGTCACTGCAGGCACTGTCAACCCAACCGGTTCCGCGCGACGAAACGCTACGGACAGCAGTACGGCCGCAGATTGTAGCGACGACACAACGATAGAGAGTGCGCAGGACATAAGCGCCAGCGCACGAGCGGACTCCGCTGCCAGACGCCGGACACGTCGCGAGCGAGCGTGACTACGGGAAAAACGCCTAAGCTCGACAGCCAGGGTACCGAACTGGCCGCCCCGGACAGCAGGAAGATCCCGACGACCGCCACATAGACGACGACACAGAGCAGGCACACTGCGTCAAGCAGGGCGACGGAGGCGTAACCGAGGAACAACACGGTCGCGAGCCCGATCGTCGAGAGCACCAGCAGATAGCCGCCGACGTTCTCCCTCAGACCGACAGAGCCACGGTCCGCTGCCAGCGTCAACAGAAAAACCAGCCCGAACCAGAATGCGCCGATCAGGGCGACCGGGATATCCCTGACCGACCCGTAGGGACTCAGATATACCTGTGTGCAACTGACGGTCTCGTTGATATCGCAGAAGCTCGTATAGCCGGGGTCCTGGACCAACTGGAAGTGCACGTATGTCGAGGTGCCAGCCGCCACCAGGCCGATCAGGGCCAGCGTCAGAATGGCGCGACGAACGAACTGGCTCATGGTGTCCCTTCTTTCTCAGGCGGCGCAAGCCAGGACTGGCCGATCACGGTGTGCTACTGGATTGGCGTCGCGTCTGCCGGCGCACCGTTCTGGGTGACAGGAATAGCGGCCGGCGCCTGATAGATCGTGGCCCCCTGATTCGTTCCAAAGAAACGTATACCCCCACCAGCCGTGGGCGCCGCACTCACGAAATAGGTCGAGACCACCGTGCCGGCGGCGGCCCCGTTGCAGGACGCCGGAGCCCCGGCCGCCGCCGGACCAGCCGTCAACGTTATCGTGTAGCTGCTCTTCACTGCCGGATCACTGCCCAGGTCCGTGCCGATAAAACCGTCGCCAACGCCGACCGTCGGCGGCGTCCCAAGGTTTACGAGCGACGGCGCGTAGAAACCGCTGCCGCATCCGGCAGCATAAATCGACTGGGCGCTGGTGATGGCGCGGAGCGACGCGATGGCCGAGGCCTCGTTCCCCGCTCGACGCGCTTGCAGCAACCCGGGCACGGCGATGGCGCCGAGGACCCCGATGATCGCCACGACGATCAGCAGCTCGATCAACGTGAAGCCTCTGCTGTTTCTCACTCTTGTCTTCCCCTGCATGCCGTTGTCGTCATCCGATGCACTTCGATTCACGGTTACGCCCTCCTCAATACCTCAATGCTCGGTTGGGTTCGCCTGAAGGCGACATCCGAGTGGATAGAGGACATGCAAACGAAGATCCAATCTGACCGGATTCATGCGTCGATCTTGCTTGTTGCTCTGAACAAAGAGTTTACTTGACGTGGGTCGGGAAACCAACGATCTCGACACGTGGGGTGCATCGTCGCGTGACGCATGAGGGCAACCCCAGGTTGTCACCAGCGTGGCAGCGCCGATCACATACAGCGGGGCTCATGATGTTGGAGGTCCTTTCGGGACCGAGAGCTGGATGAGCACCGGGCATTATTTCTCTCTCCGGTGTCACCCGTGTGCGTTCTATCCGGCCATCCGACTGATAAGGTCGAAGATGGGCAGATACATCGCGATAACGATGCTCCCCACGAGCACACCAAGAAACGCGATCATGATCGGCTCGATCAGGGTCAACATCCCGGCGACCGAGGTATTCACTTCCTCTTCGTAGAAATCTGCAATCTTGGCCAACATTGTGTCCAGCGTACCGGTCGCCTCGCCCACGTTGATCATCTGCGTCACCATGGGCGGAAAAGCCCTGGTCCCACGAAGTGACCCCGAAACCGTCTCGCCGCGCTCAATGGCAGCTCGAGTCACCCTGATCGCGTCCTCGATGATGGCGTTCCCCGCCGTCTTGGCAGTGATCTCGAGTCCATCGAGAATCGGCACCCCTGAGCCGAGCAACGTTGCAAGCGTGCGGCAGAAACGGGCGACCGCCTCTTTCCTGATGATCAGGCCCAGGACCGGTGTCTTGAGTAACGCCCCGTCCACAGCACGGCGCCCCCGCCCTGTCGCGCGGAACCTGCGGTAGGTGAACGCCAGCACCGCGCCGCCCAGGATGAGGAACGGCATGTACGTCACCAGCGAGTTGCTCATCACGATGACCATTCGCGTGGGCAGCGGCAGCGTCGCGCCCAGACCGGCGAACAGATTCGCGAACGTGGGGATCACCTTCCACAGAATGGCACCGACCACAATGGCCGAGATCGTCAGGATGGCAATCGGATAGGTCATCGCAGACTTGACTTGCGCCGTGAGTTTGACGTTTTTTTCGATATGGATCGCCAGCCGCTTGAGGATGGTGTCGAGGATTCCGCCTGCCTCGCCGGCCACCATCATGTTGGTGTAGAGCGAGTCGAATGCGCTCGGGTGTTTCCGCATCGAGTCAGCAAGACCGGTTCCCCCTTCGATGTCAGCACGGGTTTGCAGGATGATCCGGCTGAAGTTCTTGTCCTCTTCCTGAGTGCCGAGAATCTCCAGACATTGCACTAGTGGCAGACCCGCATCGATCATCACCGATAATTGCCGCGTGAAGATCGCCAGGTTTCTGGCCGGCACGGGCTTGACGCGGCGAGTTCGCGCCGCCCAGACCCGCTCGCGCACTGAATCGATTCTGGTGACGAAGATCTGTTCACGGCGCAGGGCGGCCAGCGCCGCATCGAGCGTGTCTGCGATTTTTTGCCCGCTGACGGGCTGCCCCCCACGGGTCCGGCCCGAGTACGCGAAGGTCGGCATCGACTGAATCCCGCGCTGTTCGAACGCTTCTACCGTTGCGGCGTCGACGAGCGTCTCTCGATGCACCGCGCGCCCGCGCCGGGCACGGCACCTGCTCCGCGCGAGATCAAATCCCGCAATTCATTTGGCATCGAGGAAGCCGCCAGGGCAGTCTCCACGGACACCACCCGAGACTTGACGAGAGTCGCAAGCGACTGATTCATCGTCTGCATCCCGTTTTTCTCCTGCCCCGCCTGCATGACGGAGTAGAGCTGATGAATCTTGTCTTCACGAATCAGGTTTCTGACCGCCGCGGTCGGTACCATGACTTCGACAGCCGCCACTCGCCCGCCGCCGGAGCGCCTGGGCAGCAGCGTCTGACACATGACGCCCTCGAGTACCAGCGACAACTGCGTGCGCACCTGGCCCTGTTGGCTGTCCGGAAACACGTCAATGATCCGATTGATGGTCTGATAGGCGGAATTGGTGTGCGCGGTCGCGAACGTCAGGTGGCCCGTCTCAGCGATCCGCAGCGCTGATTCGATCGTCTCGAGATCTCGCAATTCCCCGATCAACACCACGTCCGGGTCTTCACGCAACGCCGCGCGCAGCGCTGTCGCAAAGCTCGTCGTATCGCTGTTGACCTCTCGTTGGTTGACGAGGCAGTTCTTGTGGGAGTGAAGGTACTCGATTGGATCTTCAATCGTCAGGATGTGCGCATTCCGTCCGTGTTGATCTTGTCGATCAGTGCCGCCACCGTCGTGCTCTTCCCGCTGCCGGTGGGTCCCGTGACCAGCACCAGCCCCCGCGGGTGAGCGGCCAGCCGCTCGATGACGGGAGGCAATCCCAGTCCCCGCACACTGCAAATCTCATCGGGAATCACGCGAAATACGGCGGCCACGGCGCCGCGCTGGCGAAAGGCGTTACCGCGGAATCGTGCAATATCACGGATGCTGAACGAAAAATCGAGCTCGAACGAGTCTTCGAACTGACCCTGCTGGCCGTCGGTCAGGACGCTGTACACGAGTTGCCTGGTCTCGGCCGCACACAGCGGAGGTAGATCGAGCGGACGTAGCGAACCATCGACCCTCACCTGCGGTGGCGAATCGGTCGTGATGTGCAGGTCGGACGCGTCGAACTCGACAGTAGCCTTCAGCAAATCAGACAGGCTCGGCACCTACTTGACCGTTTCCTTCAGCACTTCTTCAATGGTCGTCTGCCCCTCCGCGATCTTGTACAGCCCGCTCGTACGCAGGGTCAGCATGCCGTCATCTATCGCGTGGCGCCGCAACTCGAGCGCCGAGCTTCCCAGCAAGATCATTCGCCGAAGGTCATCGGTGACCTGCATCACCTCGTAGAGCCCGATTCGCCCCTTGAAGCCAGTACCATTGCACCGCTCGCAGCCGGAGCCGCGCCGAGGCGTCACCGTAACGGCCTGCTCGGCAGAGAATCCGATCTCCAAGAGGGTGGGAGCCGGTGTGTGGTGGTCCTCCGCGCAGTTGTCACACACCCGGCGCACCAGCCGTTGCGCGCAGATGAGGTTGACGGCGCTGGCCACGAGAAACGGTTCAATGCCCATGTTCATGAGTCGGTTGACGGTGCTCGGGGCGTCGTTGGTGTGTAGTGTCGACAGCACGAGATGCCCGGTGAGCGCCGCCTTGATCGCAATCTCGGCTGTTTCGACGTCCCGGATCTCACCGACGAGTATGACGTCCGGATCCTGGCGCAGGAACGAACGCAGCGCAGCGGCGAAGTTCAACCCGATACTCTCTCGCATCTGCACCTGGTTGATTCCGGACATATTGAACTCGACCGGGTCCTCCGCGGTGACGATATTGGTGGAAGTGGTGTTGATCCTGGCGATGGCCGAGTACAGAGTGTTCGTCTTGCCGCTGCCGGTGGGACCGGTGACGAGCACGAGGCCCCAGGGCTTGCTGATCGCTTCTTCGAAGCTGCACAGCGAGACCGACTCGAACCCGAGCCTCCTCATGTCGAGCATCAGCTTGCTCTGGTCGAGCAGCCGCATGACGATCTTCTCGCCGAACAACGTCGGGAGGCAGGATACGCGGAAGTCGATGTTGTTGGCACCGCCATCGGCGCGCAAGCGGAGTTTGATCCGACCATCCTGCGGCAGACGCTTTTCGGCGATGTCGAGCTGCGCCATGATCTTGAGCCGCGAAGTGATGGCATCCCGGAGATTTGGCGGAGGCGCCATCTCGGTGTACAGGGTGCCATCGATTCGAAAGCGGATCCGATACTCGTTCTCATACGGCTCGACGTGGATGTCGCTGGCGCCCTTCCGGATGGCGGATGCCAGCACCGCATTGACCAGCCGGACGACCGGCGCCTCGCTGCTCGGCGTCTCGATGGAGAGCACGGCGGCGCCCTCCATCTCCTCGATCACTTCGACTCCGTCGTCCTCCCGATCCGGCATTCTCTCGAGGGGGTTCCTCGCCGGCACGTGTGGACTCGCGTTGATCTCCTGAACCGTCGGTCGGATGTCCTTGCCCTTGTTACCGTAGTAGCGGTCAATCGCAGCGAGGACCGCCGATTGCGCCGCGACGACCGGCTCGACCTGATATCCGGTCATGAATTTGATGTCGTCGACCGCAAAGACATTCGTCGGGTTGGACATCGCGAGCGTCAGGGTCGCCCCTGCCCGGCTGACGGGGACGACCTCGTACTTCTCGGCAGCGGCCGCAGATACCAGCTTGATGACGCCTGCGTCAATGTCGAACTGTGCGAGGTTTATGGAGGGGACACCGTATTGCCTGCTCAGCAGGGAAACAATTTCCTCATCTTCGACGAACCCGAGTTGCGCGAGAGTAGACCCGAGTTCCCCCCCTGCGACTGCTGCCGGTCCAGAGCCTCCTGCAACTGGGCGGCAGTGATGCGCTCCTCCTTGACAAGCAGTTCGCCGATTCGAACGGTCATGGTTTTCCTGGCTCCGCTCCAGAACGGACAGCCATTACTTGGGAAGGACAAGACATGCAAGAACTGTGACATTTCTCGTCACACTTTCCCGCCAACACCCCGTGTGGACGAGGAGGTGTCATCCAGTTACCTGGCCAGATAATTCGGCCACAGGAGGAGGGAAAAGCTGACCCGAGGGATCAACGCCGGGTCCTGGCAGCCCGATGTCGCATCACTGCCTGCCCGGCATCGAAGGCGGGAGGATTCAACCGACGAGCACGGCGGCCGCGATGACGGTGGTCCAGAGACCGTTCTTGTCGCCGACGGCGGTCTGGGTGACGTTCTGGGTCCGCACGATCTGGGTCGAGAGCCTGTACACTTCCTTTTTCTCGTCCCAGCTCTTGTCCGGATCGAAATCGAGTCCGAGGGTGGTCGCCAGCATTTCCGCCGCCAGTTCCTCCGCGTAGTCCCCTGCCGTCTCTTCGTTCTCTCCAAAGCTATGGTGCTCAGAGAGATAGCCGAACAATTTCCTGTCGCGGGGAATCGCCACACCGATGGTCGCGGCGATAAGCCGGTGAGCCTCGCGCGTCGCCGCGTCTGACATCACCACGAAGGTGACCTGACCCGGTTTCAGCCGTCTGACGCCATCCGCCTTGGTCAGAATCTTGCAACCCGGAGGGAAGATGCTGGACACACGGACCAGATTGCACGCGGCAATGCCCGCCGCCCGGAGGGCCAACTCGAACGACGTGAGCTTCTCGCGATGCTTGCCGACACCCTTGGTGAAGAAGAGTTCTTTGGGGACGAGTTCGATCACTGCACGCTCCGGTCCTCGACGCCGCGTCGCCGGGAATGGCCCCGGGACCCACTCGGGACACCAGTGTCCCATCCGACAGGTGGATCACAACGATCGCGGGCGCGACGAGGGACCGGATTTCGCATTCGTGACCGAGGAACAACGCGTGCCGGCTGGAGGGTCCGCCCGCGGATCATGTAGCGAACCTCTGTCGTCGGGACACTAGGTCAACCGCCTGCACCCTGTCAAGGCAGGGTCCGGGCCGGAGTCAGACATCGGGGACCAGCGAACAAACGATCACACAATTCCGTCTATCCAGGGGATGGCGTACCTACGGAACGACGACGGAGCTCGACCGCAGTATAATGGTGAGTTTCCGGTGTTGCCCGCTAGTTCGACCCTACCCCTGATCGTCACGTTGGCAACAACCAGATACCACGATGCCCGAGAGGACGGAAGCTACGCCACACGATGGCCCCCTGCGACCGGCCACCGTGCGCCACCCCGATGTGATCTCGCGACTGGCCGGTGTCCTGTTCTCGCCGCAGAGCACGTTTCGCACAATCATGAACCGGCCCCGCTGGCTGGGAGCCCTTGCGGTCGTCGCGCTCGCAGCCGGCGGGGCGAACGCCTGGTTGATCAGCACCGACGTGGGCCGGCAGGCGCTGCTGGAACTGCAGTTCAACCAGATGGAAACGTTTGGCGTCACCGTCTCGGACGAAATGTACGAGGGGATAGTCCGCCAGAGCCGCAGTTCGATCGATTTCGCGGTCGGCCCGCTGGACGTCAGTATTCCGATCGTGGCCCTGTTCACGCTGGGAAGCCAACTGGTCACGATTCCGATCCTGGTGCTGATTCTCGCCGGTGTGGTCTGGACGGTCGGTTACGTGGTATTCGGCACGGGGGCGAGTTTCAAGGCCCTGTTCGCGATCGTCGCGCATGTCGGAGCCGTGAACGTCGTGCAGCAGATGTTCGTCGTGCCACTGAATTACATACGCGGAGCGATCAGCAATCCGGCGACCATCGCGGCATTCTTTCCCATGCTCGACGACAGAACATTCGCGTACCGTGCGCTGAGCTTGATCGACATGTTCGTGGTCTGGCAGCTCTGCATCGTGTCCATCGGAATCGCCGTGCTGTACGGCCGGCGCACCGGTCCGATTCTCGCAGGTTTCTACACTCTCTACGCGATCATCGCGGTCGGTGGAGGATTCGCGCTGTCCCGGATGGGAGGATAGTTGTTTGACCGATCTTCGCAAGGTAATCCTTATCGGTTCGATCGTTGTCATCGGTGGCGCGCTGGTGTATTTCAACCTGACATTCGAACGCGCGACCGGTCCTGAAGTGGAGGTCGAGGCGGTGCAGCGGCGCAGCCTGGAAGCGATCGTGTCCGCCTCGGGCACCATCGTGCCGCAACTGACCGTGGACATCAGTGCCAACACCATGGGCCAGATCACCCGGCTGGCGTTCAACGAGGGCGACCAGGTGGACAGCGGTCAGTTCCTGCTCGAGATCGACCCGGAAACACTGCGGGCCGCCGTAGACCGCGGTGAAGCGGCGTTGCGCGCGTCGCGCTCGACATTGCGGCAATTCGAGGTGCTCGTTGAATCGGCCGAAGTCAACCTGCAGGTTTCGCGAGACAACCTCGAACGACAGGAAAATCTGTGGGACCTCCGCCTGGTGTCCCGGCAATCCTACGAGGCCGCCGTCAGTGAGGTCGCACTGCGCGAGACCGAACTGGCAGCACGTCGCGTGGACGTAAACACCCAGGCCGAACGGATCAGCCAGGAAGACGCAAACCTCGACAGCGCGCGTTACGAGCTGACCAAGGTGACCATCACGTCGCCCATCTCCGGTGTCGTCACCCGGCGCAACATTGAGGAAGGCGAGACCGTTGTGGTAGGCACGATGAACAACCAGGGGACAGTGCTGGCCACCATCGCCGATCTCTCGGTGATTGAGGCCGAGGTCGAGGTCGACGAAACTGATATACCCAACGTCAAACCTGGCCAGATAGCGGACGTCACGATCGATGCACTGCCCGATTATGTGTTTACCGGAATCGTCACCGAAATCGGGAACAGCCCGATCCAGCCAACTAACGCCGGCGGCTATGCCAGGGCGGTACCCAGGCCACCAGACGTCAAGGTGCGTCGTCGTGGACGTTGAGATGACGTGATGATCCGGTGTGCGTGCGGCCGGGTTACGCCTGCACCACGCGCGATATCACGACGGCCCTCCGAATTGACTCGCTCGCGATTCCGATCCAGGCCGCCACGGTGCGAGAGGTCATGTTCGACGCCTTGGGCAATGTGATTCGTCAGGAGCCGGACGCCAGACGCGGCGGCATGACCCCGGGCGTCTCCGCGGCCGGGCGGTCGGTCGATCGGCCCGAGGATGACATGGGGACAGAGCTCGAAGGAGTCTTTGTCGCGCGTCAAGGTCAGGCGGCGTTCATCCCGGTGGTGACAGGCATCGCCGGCGAGCGATATTTCGAGGCGCTGAGCGGAGTGACCGAAGGCGATCTCATCATTACCGGCCCCTTCAGTGAAGTCCGAAATCTGGAAGACGGTGACTCGATCAGGGTGGTTGAAGGTGCGTCGCGTCCTTGATATCACGAGCATCGCCCTGCGCGCCATCTGGGCGAACAAGCTCCGTTCCTCGCTGACCACCCTCGGCAATGTCGTCGCCGTCGGCTCGATCATCGCGGTCGTGTCGCTGATCCAGGGCGTGAACGCCGAGGTCTCAGGCGCGATCGTCTCCGAGTTCGGCTCCGACTCCTTTGTCGTCGACCGCGAGGGACTGTTGATGACGGAGGCGGACATCGAAGCAGCCCGGAACAATCCTCGCATTTCGCTTGATGACGCCGATGCAATCCGTCGATTCAGCACCAGCCTCGGTGCGATCATGGCCGAGGCAACGCGAAGCGGGGAGGTACGCTATCGGGATCGGTTGCTGGAGAGAGTCAATATCCGAGGTGTCACCCGAGACTATATTGACTTCCCGCTCTTCACGGCCGATCGAGGCCGACTCATCAGTCCCACCGAGGTCGACAGCAACAGGGGCGTCGCGGTGCTCGGATTCGATACCGCCAACCGCCTGTTCGACACCCTGGATCCTGTGGATCGGACGATCAAGATCCAGGGCGTGAACTTCCGGGTCGTCGGCGCCAGTGAGCCGACGCCGTCAACATTGGGACAATCACAGGACGAGTATGTGGTGATTCCGATGGGCCGATTCCGCAAACTGTTCGGATCGCGGCCCTCGCTGACGTTGATGGCGCGACCGCAATCCCCCGAACAGCTTGACCATGCCATCAATGAAGCGACCGTCGCGTTACGTATCGAGCGCCGGCTGCGGCCGCGGGAGGACAACGATTTCGGCGTGTTCACCTCGGGTACGGTGCTGGGACTCTACGAGCAGGCCACGGCCGGCATCTTTGCCGTGCTCGTCGGCATCGTCGGATTGTCACTGGTGGTCGGCGGCATCGTCATCATGAACATCATGCTGATGGTGGTCTCCGAACGCACGCGAGAGATCGGCCTGCGCAAGGCCCTTGGCGCTCGCCGTCGCGACCTGTTATGGCAGATCCTCGCCGAGTCGATCATCTTGTCTGTGCTCGGCGGCGCGATCGGCACGGGACTCGGGTTCAGTGTGGCTATTGGTCTGAGCTCCATGACACCGGTGCCGGCGGCGGTGCATCCATGGTCGGTCCTGCTGGGAATCACGATGACAGCCGCGGTCGGACTGTTCTTCGGGCTCTACCCCGCGGCACGCGCGGCCTCACTTGACCCGATCTCGGCCCTGGGTCGCAGTTGATACGGACCCTGATGGCGAACAATCTCCACGGCGGACTCTTCGGCGAGATCGTCTCGATGGCAGTCGAGACCCTGCGCCAGCAAAAGGTGCGATCGGCGCTCACCATCCTGGGCATCGTCATCGGGATCATGTCGATCGTCGGAAGCACGTCTCTCATCCGGGGGCTGGACCAGTCACTACGGGACAGCATCCGCGCCATGGGACCGGACACGATCTTCATTACCAAATTCTCAGCCGTCAGCATGGGGTCGGGGCGTGAGCTGACCGAGCTGCTGCGACGACCCAACCTGACCCCGGGAGATGCGGAGGCGCTGGCCGATCAGACCGAGTCGCTCGACTCCGTCAACATCGTCCTGGGCCAGGGCGGGAGCCCGACCAGGGAACGGGTCACGTACCAGTCCGAACGATCGAAGCTGCTCAACGTCTTCGGGTCAACCGCGAACTACGCCGAGGTGTTCAACAACGAAGTGGTCGAGGGTCGGTTCTTCACGTCCGGCGAGACGCAGCGACGCGTGTCGGTCGTCGTGTTGGGCCATGGCCCGGCACAGGCTCTGTTCCCGAACCTCGACCCGATCGGCAAACGCGTACGCGTCGGGAACGCGCGTTATACCGTCATCGGTGTTCTCGGCGAAACGCCAAGTCCTGGTGGGTTCAACATGGGGCAGGACGATTTTGTCGTGATTCCCCACACGACCTATCAGAAACAGTTCGGGATCCGAGCTCAACGAATGTTCGGCGAGGAGATGCGAGCGGTGATGATCGCCGCGGTCCCCCGCGAGGAGGCCGACCGCGAAGACGCCATCGCCGACATCGAAAGAGTGATGCGCATCAGGCACCGGCTTCGTCTTGACGAACCGAACGATTTTGAACTCATGACGCAGGATGCCATCCTCGCGCTGTGGGATCAGATCAGCGGTGCCACCTTCCTCTCATTGATCGTTGTGTCGTCGATCGCGCTCCTGGTCGGTGGCATCGGCGTCATGGCAATCATGACGATTTCGGTCACCGAGCGAACCCGCGAGATCGGCACCCGCCGCGCGATCGGCGCGAAAAAGAGGGAGATCCTCTGGCAGTTCTTGATCGAGGCCGGATTCCTCACGGCCGTGGGTGGGATCCTGGGTATCTGCCTGGGCGCCGGTATCGGCATCGGCGTGCACTACGCCACGGGTTTCCCTGTCTCGCTGCCCTGGTGGTCGTTCGCACTTGGTCTGGGGTTTTCGGCAAGCGTAGGCGTCCTGTTCGGTTTGTTCCCCGCGATCAAGGCCTCCAGCCTCGATCCGATCGAAGCGCTCCGTTACGAGTAGCAGCGTGGCCTGCCACCCTTCGCCTCATCGGGCGTGAGCTCGTACCCGCATATTTGGAAGGACCTTGAGCGACGCCACGGAGTCGCATACGATCGGGGTTTCGCCCGGAAGGCGGTGCTGATTCAGCGGAGGACAGTCGACCAATGAAAGTGTACGACGCAGAACATATCCGTACGTGGCGCTGGTGGGTCACAGTGGCTCAGGCAAGACTCAGTTGACATCGACGCTTTTGTTCGACACCGATGCAGTCAATCGACTCGGACTGGTGGATGACGGCACGACTGTGACCGATTTCGACGAAGAAGAAATAGCGCGCAAGCACACACTGTCGGCCACCACCGCCTTCACTGAGTGGAAAAGAACGAAGATCAACCTCATCGACACGCCAGGAATGGCGAACTTTTTCAGCGACGCGAAGTCAGCACTTCGTGTCGCGGACGCCGCCCTGGTGGTAGTGGACGCAGTAGCCGGCGCGGAAGTGCTCACCGAAAAGGTGTGGGCCGCCGCAGCCGAGCTCGACCTGCCCTGCGTGGTGGTGCTCAATCGGATCGACCGCGAGCGTGCCAGCCTGAGGCGTTCTTTTGGAATCATTGCACGCAGCGTTCGGTCGCACGGTCGTACCGATCCAGCTTCCAATGGGGGAGGAGAAGGACTTTCACGGCGTCGTCGACCTCGTCGCCATGAAGGCGATCACGTTCAGAGACGAAGGTCGCACGCCTACCGTCGGGGATGTCCCGACCGATATGGCAGGCGAGGCAGACGCCGCACGGGAGGCGCTCATTGAACTCGTCGCCGAAGCCGACGACAGCCTCATGGAGCAATTCTTCGAAGCAGGAACGTTGACCCAGGCACAGCTCGAAGCCGGACTCAAGACTGCGACGGCGGATCGTCACGTGTTTCCGCTGGTCTGCACGTCAGCCACCGCCAATGTCGGTATCCAGCCGCTACTCGACACCATCCTGACCTACGTACAATCGCCGGCTGGGCGCGTTCTTCCGATCGTGACCAGCGACGGGGAAACAAGCTCGTACGACCCGGAGGAAGCTGGAACGGCGGCGCTGGTCTGGAAGACGGTCGCTGACCCGTTCGCAGGCCGGATCACGCTGTTCCGGGTCGCCTGCGGATCGCTAAAGTCCGACTCGACGATTCACAATGTGAGCGTGGATGTCTCCGAGCGTGTTGGCACCGTGGCGTTGATGCAAGGCAAGAAGCAGGAGAGCGTGGCAGAAATCAAGGGGGGCGATCTCGGTACGGTGGCCAAGTTGAAAGACACTCGAACCGGCAACACGCTGGCCGCAAGGGGCACGCCATGGCAATTCGCGCCTTTCGAGTTCACGGAACCGGTGCTCTCGTATGCAATTGAATTGCGGAGCCGCGGCGACGAAGAAAAAATCAGCACCGCGTTGCAGCGCCTGCAGGAAGAAGATCCCACAATCCGCTATACCCGGGATCCGCAAAACGTCACAACTGCTGCTGTCAGGACAAGGTCAGCTCCACATCGAGGTCACGGTCGCCAAGCTGAAACGCCGGTTCGGCGTGACGGCGGACCTCAAGCTGCCCCGAATTCCGTATCGCGAGACGATCAAGGTGGCCACGGAGGCGCACGGGCGGCACAAGAAACAAACCGGCGGCCATGGCCAGTTCGGCGACTGCAAGATCAAGGTAGCACCGTTGAGCCGAGGAGCGGATTTCCAATTCATTGACGAGATCTTCGGTGGCGCGATTCCGCGAGGATTCATCCCAGCAGTCGAGAAGGGCATACAGGAAGCGCGCACCCGCGGCTATCTTGCGGGGTACCCGATGGTGGATTTCTCGGTCACACTCTACGATGGTTCATTCCACTCGGTCGACTCGAATGAAATGTCGTTCAAGATGGCTGGCCGACTGGCCTTTCGCGATGCAATGTCACGGGCCAAACCGACGTTGCTCGAGCCGGTCATGAATGTGGAAGTGTACGCGCCAAGTGATTTCGCCGGCGATTTGATGGGCGACCTCAATGGACGACGAGGGCGAATCGTGGGGATGGAAACACGCGGTGCGTCAACGTCAATCAAGGCGCGGGTGCCGATGTCCGAGATGCTGACCTATGAACAGCAACTCACATCATCCACTGGCGGGCGCGGTTCCTACCACATGGAGTTTTCGCACTATGACGAGGTCCCGGCACACATACAGGACAAGGTGATTGCCGCGGCGAAGGCTGAAGCCGGACAGGGCGACGAGGAAGACGGAAACTAGGGCAGTTACTCAGACGTGTCCTACTTCGCTTCTTCTCGGTCGGTCTGACTGCCGATCCGTTTGGCCACCGCACGCAACCGCCCCCCGACCCCCTTCTGCGTGGCGGTCTTTTCCTCGACTACATTTCCTGATTTGTCGGTGCTGGGATCAAATTCGCTACCCACAAACTCGATCTGGGCGATTTCGGCGCTGTCGCTCTTTCGCCGTCCGAGATGTAGCACCCGGGTATAGCCGCCCGGCCTCTCCGCGAACCTGGGCGCAATCGTATCGAACAGCTTGCTGGCCACCTTCTTGTCAGCCAGATCACGAGCCACAAGCCGGCGCGCATGCAGCGCGCGAGTCGTATCGGCGCCATCCGCGAGCCCACGCTTGGCCACTGTAATCAGTCTCTCAACGAAAGGCCGCAACTCTTTCGCTTTCGCCAGGGTCGTGTCGATCCGCTCGTGACGCAGTAACATCTGTGCCTGGTTCCGAAGCGTAGCAAGCCGATGTTCGGTCGTCCGACCGAGTTTTCGGTGCGCGATTCGATGACGCATAGCTTCGCAATCCTCTGGTCCCCGGTCGCGGGGACGCCTTGTTTCCCGCTACGCCTCAACGTCAGCGGCGGCCGGTTGATCGATCCGCATCCCGAGACCGAGTCCCATGCTCTGCAGGATCTTCTTGATCTCGTTAAGCGACTTGCGACCGAAATTCTTCGTGCGCAGCATCTCTGGTTCGGTTTTTTGCACCAATTCACGAATCGTACGGATGTCAGCGTTCTTCAGGCAGTTGTACGACCGTACCGAGAGCTCAAGCTCTTCGACGCTCTTGTCAAGGTGCTCATTCGCTTCAGAATGCAACAGCACGGTGTCCAGGTCAGGAGACGTGTCCTCCGTGTCCTCGAGGTTGATGAAGATACTCAGGTGGTCACGCACAAGCTTTGCACCCAGCGACACCGCGTCACGGGCAGTCACAGACCCGTCGGTCCAGACATCCACGGTGAGCTTGTCGTAGTCGGTCGTCTGTCCGAGTCGGGCCGCCTCGACCAGATAGTTGACCTTCCTGACCGGCGAATGCACTGAGTCGACCGGTATCCAGCCAATTCCGAGGTCTTCGTCGTGGTTCTTGTCGGCCGCCACATAGCCGCGACCCTGCTTCACCCGTGCCTCCATGTGCAGGGAGCCGCCCTGGGCCACCGTCGCGATGTGCAGACCGGGATCGAGGATCTCGACGTCGCCGTCGGCATCGAGATCGCCCGCCTTGACCTCACCCGCCTTGTCGGCCCGCAAGTACAGGATCTTGGTCTGATCGGAGTGAAGCTTGATCGGAATCTGCTTCAGATTCAGGATGATGTCGGTCGCGTCCTCCACGACACCAGGAATTGGCGAGAACTCGTGAAGCACGTGGTCGATCTTCACGCTTGTGACTGCTGCCCCTTCTATGGCCGACAGCAGGACGCGCCGCAACGCGTTCCCGATTGTCGTCCCAAAACCGCGCTCGAACGGCTGGGCATAGAACCGGCCAAATCGATCAGTCAGCGTCTCGGCGTCAAACTCCAGACGCTTCGGACGCTGGAAGCCTTTCCACAACATCGAATCAGTCCTTTCTGTATCCGGAACCAGTCTGGTCTGTCATCCAGAACGGCGTACGTACCGCACGTTCCCGTCGACACCTATTTCGAATACAGCTCGACGATCAGTTGCTCCTGCACCGGCAGGTTGATCTGATCGCGGGTCGGCAGCGAAGCTACCCGGCCCGTCAACGTGCTGGCATCGAACTCCAGCCAGTCGGGAATACCACGGCCTTTAACCTCTTCCATCGCGTAGAGAATCGATGCCTTCCCGGCGCTGCGTTCTCGCACGGTAATGGCGTCTCCCGCCTTGAGCGAATAGGACGGAATATCAGCGCGATGGCCGTTGACGCGCAGGTGCCCATGGCGCACGAGCTGCCGCGCCTGCGGCCTGGAGGTCGCCAACCCGAGGCGATAGACCACATTGTCGAGCCGACGCTCCAACAACTGCAGCAGAGTCTCGCCCGTGATACCACGCTGGCGCTCGGCCGCTGCGAAATACCGGCGGAACTGGCTTTCGAGCACGCCGTACGTTCGCTTGACCTTTTGCTTTTCGCGAAGCTGCGATCCGTAGCCTACGACCTTGTTGGGCCGGCGCCGGCGGCCCTGTTGACCGGGAGGGACATTTCTCTTCTCGATGGCGCACTTCTCCGCGTAGCAGCGTTCGCCCTTGAGGAACAGCTTCATGCCCTCCCGCCGGCAAAGCCGGCACACCGGGTCCTGCGTATCGTGCCATGCTGATCGTTCTCCTCGTCGGTCCTAAACTCGACGTCGTTTCGGCGGACGGCAACCGTTGTGCGGGATGGGCGTCACATCACGAATCGACTTCACGGTGAGGCCGACCGACGCCTGGAGAGCGCGGATGGCCGACTCGCGGCCGCCACCTGGGCCCTTCACGCGGACATCCACCGTGCGCATCCCAACGGCCTTGGCACCATGCCCTGCGCGTACCGCGGCCTGCGTCGCCGCGAACGGCGTCCCCTTGCGGGAACCGCGGAAACCGATGGCTCCGGCGCTCGACCACGCCACCACGTTACCTTCGGTATCGGCAATCGTGACGATCGTGTTGTTGAATGACGCCTGGATGTGCACGATGCCATGGTGAACGACGCGCTTCTCCCGCTTCTTCT